TTCCAGAAACAGAGTACCATAAGCTGTATGACTCCTTATTCAAGTCTCATATGAGCTACTGTATCAGTAGCTGGGGTGGTGTCACACCTTATAGACTATCTAAACTGTTCTCCATCCAAAAAAGATGTGTACGCCTTCTATTTGGAAGCAAACCAAGCTTTGACCGGGCAGAGTATTATGAAACATGTGCACGTGCAAGACCATACAGTGAACACATCGCAAAAAGGAGCTTTGCTTTGGAAAACACTAAGCCAATATTCAATACCGAGAAAATCATGTCAATCCACAACCTGTACACCCAACATATATCCACTGAACTGTTTGAAATCTTGAAACTGCATTAATTAATTAATTAAAATTGAAATTTAAAAACACCACTATTAAGCGTACACTTTTACTCAGCAGTGTCACTACAACTAGTTTACAAAAATACTTTTAAAACTATATATCAAAAGCAAAATAAAGTTCTATGTATAAATTCGTTCATAAAACTTCCAAAAAGCTAATATAATTTAGATAAGTCAAAGAGAGGGTTAAAATTATTAATAAAACATTTTTGCTACCTCAGTGTCAGATAAAGTAAACAAATAAGTCTTCAGTGCGGACTTAAACGCCTCAACAGAATAACATTGTTTAACTGAGTCTGGTAGTGCATTAAAAACTCGTGGACCAACCACACTAAAACTACGATCACCAAAACCCCTGGTTGAACGATAAGGGACTATGAGCCTAACAGTGTGTCCATGGTGAGCATACTTAAACATATCTTGAAGGTACAGTGGCGCTATTCCATTAATAGCCTTAAAAGATAAGAGACATATTTTAAAAATCACTCTTTTAGGTATATTAAGCCAGTGCAATTTATCAAGATCGTCGCCTAGGTGATCAAATTTATATTTTCCAGTTACTGCTTTTGCACAGGCATTTTGAATAAGCTGTAGTTGATGTATGAGGTACTTGGAGATGCCGTAAAACATGGCGTTACAGTAGTCCAAACAAGAAACAACGAGGCTATTAACAATTGTCTTAAGCTGTTTTGTAGTCAGCAGAAACCGTATCTTAGTGAGGTTGCGTAGTGTTAGGAAACATTTCTTCTTCAACTCAACAACATGGTTGCTCATAGTAAGCCCAGAGTCCATATGTATCCCAAGATTCTTAACTGTGCTCACAAATCGAATAGTTGTGTCACTCCCAAAATTCACTCCCTTTATATTGATCTCTCGTAGGACGGACATAGGACCAAAAACGATTATCTGTGTTTTACTGTCATTCATTGCTAGAAAGTATTTTTTCATCCAAGCTCTAATAGATGCAAAGCATCCCCTGAGCTTAGAGAGTAACGTTTCGTACTGGTTGATGGGTTTAAATCTCTTTAAGATCTGGTGGTCATCTGCATACCCATAAATTGTGAAGTCCATTCCTTGTACAAATCTATAGATGGATCTGATATAAAGGTTAAACAGAACAGGTCCCAGAACTGAGCCCTGAGGAACACCAAACTTAATAACTATTTCTTCAGAGAGAGTAGAACCAAGTCGAATTCTCTGAGCACGACCTTTTAGAAAGCTAGTAAACCATTTTAACACAGTGCCCCTTAGTCCTATCTCCTTCATGAGAATGTTCAGTAAGACATCATGGTCTACAGTATCAAACGCCGCCGATAGGTCAAGCATCATGACAACTGTAGCACTCTTTTCATCTGATGCAACTAGAAGATCATTCCATATTCTGATCAATAATGTTTCTGTGCTGAAGGTCTTCTTGTATGCAGACTGTTCTGGGCAGTGGAGATTATGCTTATCTAAGTGATCGTTTAGGCGCTTTAACACCACTCTCTCGATTAGCTTCCCAAGGAAAGTGAGGTTTGAGACAGGGCGAAAGTTTTTCAAGACATTAGGATCAAGAGAGTTACTTTTCAGGAGGGGAACAATATCGGCAAGTTTGACTCCGTCCATTGAACCTTGAGATAAGGATGCATTAACAATCTGTAGAAGTAATGGTAGCAGAATGCTGATGTTCTCTTTAAGCAGTGTAGTAGGTAAGATGTCAGAAGGTGAACATTTGATACCAAACTCGTCAATGATTTCCTTTAGCTCATCTAATGTGGCAGGTTCAAAGGTAGACCAGTGGTAGGATTCGGGAGCTTCAGCAGAAGAGTCTGATGGAAGAGTAAACCGATCATGATCCATATCTTTCCTAATGTTATCAATCTTAGATGTAAAGTAGGCGTTAAAGTCTGCAGCTAGCTTTGGAAGATCATCTGTGTAATCTGGCAGAGGATTAGATTGTTTACGGTCTAAATTTCTATTGACCAGCTGCCACAAAGTTCTTGGGTTGCCTTTAGAGTTTTCTACCATATTCTTAAAGTACTCCTTCTTCTTCAGATCAGCCATTTTAGAACATTCTGAGCTGATGTCTCTAAACATGATTTTATCTTCAAGCGTTGCTGTTGGTTTACGAGTTTTTGCCTCGGCTTTTCTTCTCAGCTTTCTGTAGTCCCTGTATTCATTATCAAACCAAGGTGCAGAATCAATAACAGATACCTTCTTGGAGACTATTGGAGCATGCTCATCTAGGAGTTCAGCACACAAGTCGTTCAAGTTGGCAACAGATGCACTCATATCAGTAGTTCCAATTTTCCCAAGATCAATCAAGTTTACTATATCGAAGAGATCACTGGTAAATTGGTCATCATCCACAGTCTTCAAATTTCTGTAAGTGATATCTTTAAAATATTTCTTTTCGAATTCCAAAGAGAAGTCACAATAGACTGGAAAATGATCTGATCCATGCCTATTCACACTATCAACCAAAACCTTGCATTGAAGCTGATTCTTGATAGAGAAGCAGAAGATTTGGTCTAGTGATCCACCAGCAACATGGGTTGGTTCATTAACATGATGATTAAATCCGTAAGACAGAAATAAGTCAAGCGTCTTCCTAACAAGCTTGTCATTCTTATTCTCAAAATGAATGTTCAAGTCCCCAGCAATGACGAGACAATCACACTTCATGGTGATGGCTGACAGAAGTAAATCAAGTTCCTGATGAAAGATAGAGGAGAGATAACCAGGTCGATACAAAGAGACAAACATGACCTTAGTGCCTGTTGCTGTTTTGATTGATGCAGCTGTGTACTCAAATGTAGAGAAAGTAGCAGAGCATTGGAACTGAGACATTGAGTATTCTCCCCTAAACAACAAAGCAGTTCCACCACCTTTTTTGTCTTTCCTGAAATTATGTATGATTCTGTAACCGTAAGACTTAATAATTGCAGTGGTGGGGCAGTTAACATCTGTTAGCCAAGTTTCACAGAATGCAGCAATATCAATGCTTTTGTCTGATAAGTTGCACATAATATCGTTTACTTTGTTAACAAGTGACCATGGATTGAAAAGGAAGAATTTCAGACAGCTCAGTGATTTCTGTCCGTGTTGTGGCTTTGGTAAAAAGGGGTGGTCTTTTTAACTTTCTCCTGCAAATCTTTGAATATGGGGCACAAAACAGGATCATAGGCTGCATGTAGAAGCTCATTGCCATGCTTACCAGCTTTCTTGCAGTTTGAACAACACAATGGAGCGGAGCGATCACATGTCCGTGTTTCATGTGCTCCTGCACAAAAGCCACAGACATGTTCACTTTTGCAATGACCTTGGTGACTTTTGCTATGGTGACCAAATGATTGACAGTTAAAACATCTGAGGACAAAGAAGCTATCATAGACTTTGCAAACTCTCTGAGTTCCAATAAAGAGCTTATCACCTTGTTTAGCAATTGCAGATCGTACAAGATTACTGACACGAACAATGGCTTTGAAGGAGTTCTGGTCATTCTTTAGGGGTACTATAGCTACTACATCAATTTTCTTGTCTTCTATACTGGTACCTGGATCATTGATGAGCAGATCTATTCCATGGTTTTGACTAACTATCATTTCCTTTATTTCCTCCTTCAAGTAATCACGCTCAAGACCAACAACTGTTATTCTTGGTAACTTTGTGGCTACGGTTGATGTACTATGTTGGGGGGAAGCTTTGCTAAGCTTCTCACGCAATGTTTCTGCCTCAGACCTAGAGTTAAGAATAACGGCAGTATCATTAGATTTGAGCTTCATTGTGTTAACAATACTAATCTTATTCTTGATGCAGCTTTCTTCCAACATACTTTTATCAATTGGTTTGCCACTCTGATCATTCTTAATTACAATCATGCTGCGAAGTTTCTCAGTCCTCTGAGAATCATCCCATGGGTTGCAGGGAGTCATTGGAGGTTTTGCTAGAGCATTGTTTTGCTTACTTGGCAAGATTTCCTTAAGCATCTCTTTTACACCGGACAGTTCTTCAGCAAAATTCTGCTTTAACTCCTCAATCTTTCTGTCAACGTAAACATTAGCAGCTCCCCCTGTGCTTTGCTCTGTCATCTCCTCTTTAACTGTAATACAATGGTTACAAAAGAACAAGAATCTGCCAAATCTTTTCTCATAGGACTTGGTGTTAGAAACAGCTGGTCCCAAATGGGAAGTGAAGCTAGATGGGGCACTAACACAATAGGAATCATCTGTGCAGCCTACCGCATGGAAATTGTTTTTACAGTCATAACACTGAACTCTGTAGTCAGGATTAACTCCCTCCTGACAGTGGTTACAACAATCATTTTGTATGATGTTGGGAGCAGCTATGTAGGTCCTTGTACCCTCTGTGTTCTGGGGAGAGAAATCAGTTATAGATGATTTAGGAGAATCAGGCATAGCTAAGTTTAGTAGGTCAGGGGTTGCTGTGTAAGGATTGTAAACTTGTAAGACAGTCGAGACTCCAACAGAAAACAATAAAGACAACCCACCGGAAGAGTTCTGACTTATGGGTCAGATACCCTTTGATAGTTTTGGTTTGAAGGGGAAGAGGGCTATCAAGGATAGAACACTCCTCTAGTAACTGTGTATCGCTTGTGTCTGTATCGCTTTTCAACTTATTGCCACGACATACTTTCAACACGTGCCATACCTCAAATTATTTGTTATATAGTAGTGTTGAAAGTATTAAAACATGCATCAACCTATCTCTCTGACAAGTTTATTCCAAACAAGTTCCAGAGCATGTAGCCAAACTATGCGGGTCCCCCGACACAAACTTGAAATTTCTAAACACAATTTTGTCTTCAAAGGTACGACTATATGGAACAGTTTGGTTGATAAAATATTCGACAAATGCACTCCTAATGAAAACAATGTCATGGTCCCTGGCTCTAGTAAATTTTCCGACCTTTCCTCCCCCATCTCAATTATCAAGAGCCGTATCAAAAAGCTCTTACTTGAAACCCAGCAATTGACAACACCTGGGCGTGAAATTGAGTGGCTCCCCCTAAATAGCTGGGGCATTGAACCAGCTTAGTCAATCAGCATCCCATCCCTTGCATACAACTAATTACAAAAGCGCTAATTATACCTGTTTCAAAAGCATCCTGTCTGGAAGTTCCCTGACTGCCGTGTGAATCTTTGGATCTATTTTTGGATCTATTTTTATATTGATATGATTTTTATATACCTATATATTCCTCGCATAATTTCCATGTCCGCCTGAACAAACCTGGCACCATCAAATCTTACTCTAGAAACCCCAGAACTCATCAAGCCTAGTCTGAATTCAAAACTAGTTGACCAGCTACGTACAGTTTCCTGGACAACTGGAACCTTTTGGGCCATGCACAAGCCAATAGCATGTATGGTCCTGCAGTGGGGTCTCCTTGTCCTTGGATCTGTGTTTTGATCCGTCTTTTCTTAAAATTTTCCATTTGTGTCACTTAGAATCACCTTTTAAAATGTTAATCGACACCACTGGTCTTAGTTAAATTTAGCCATGGCACGACTACTCGAACGTAACAGTTAAATAAGTGTGACATACTATTATATTCTTATAATTATATCATATGAATTGATTGCACTGCTAATAAGGTTCTGTAAATGCGCAGGGCACCTTCAAGCTTAAATTATTCACCTTACTGAGGCAGTCAACCAACGCGCGGCTTTATTTTTATGATATGATATGTTTTGATTGTTATTAATAAATACCAAAATTTAAATTTGTTTTCCTAAAATTTGTTTTCCTAATAAATAAAATACTTTGTTTTACTAAAATACTTTGTTTTACTATAATTTTTGCAACAAATTCTGCATCGAATGAGATGTAACAGTGTGCCATTTGAAAAGTAACAACCATAAACGTTTGGACTCTGACTTGTGGGTCACCTTGTGCAGTAATAATTATTTGTATCACGTTGCGACCCCCACGGTCGTTTCGACGCTACAGGGGGAGCCGCGCACTTCGTGCGCGGCGGGTCATACAACGTATGACAAATAATTATCACAGTCTTACAAATATATACCTCAATTCATATTTTTAGAAAAGTTTCAAATAATAGCCCTCGATTTACATCGAATATTACACCAGGTCCATTAGTCATCACTTAATATTAAAGCCCAGGTTATATTTCTACCGAAAGCACATTCAATAATTTGATACGTAAGAAATTGTTTATAGCTTGCTTGATATTGCACTAATTTGTCGTTCTGCGACCAAAATTGAACGTGGAATCATTTAATAAATCACTTTTGAGGCACCTAGACAAAAGCTACTTCCACCGCGCTATTGTGTTTTTTACGGGGAAATACGTCAGTAGCGTTTTTGAGCTTATTATTATATTCTCTTTCAAAGTATTCCAAGTGATTTTGATGAGTGCATATATTAATTCTAATTACATCGCAAAATAGATTTTATCCCGATTCATGAATAATGAAGTTTTTAAAAAGTTTCAGCAGTGCGCGCTATTTAATTTGGGGAGTGTGCTTTTGATGGAAATATAACTTGCGCCTAATATTAATTTGGGGCGGTTCAAATATAACTTAATTTAATCACTGAGGCAGGGAGTTCAAAAGTAGTATATTATATGGTCGAAATTTCTACGAGGTAGCGCGCGCCGCTTTCTTTTCGAGAAAAATTTTAGTGTGCAGAAAATCGCTATTAAAATCGAGCGCTATCCAATATTTTCTCTGAATTTATTTATTTGTTAGTCCTCTTAAATTTGACAAGCGTTAATGACATTATATTTTTTTGCATATTTAATGACTGTCGTATTTCTGATATTATCGGTCGTGTCTTTGTGAGAAAAATAAATGACTTTATATTTAACTTTTACTTAGCTACTGAATTGTTGATGTTTTCTATAATAGATGCAATATGTGTTTAGAAACAAGAAATCGGTTTAGCTTCGACGGCACATGTTTGTCTAAGTGGACAGACAATAAAATATAGTGCCATAGTGCAAACAATTAGCAGCAACTCTGGCTACCTAGTGCAAGCCTTACCTGTTGCTTATGATATGAACTCTTGTGAGTCTTCGAATAGTATCAAATCGGCAAACATACTTCTTTTCTCTAGCATTTCATTGATTTTGCATTTACATAGGTAAAATGAACGTGTCATGTCTAATTTTCAATTAAACTAAGCTCAGTTAATGTAAGAGCCGCTTTAGAAAGCACTGGAGTTTATCTCCAGGATTAAATTATATCGAGTTATATGATTTAGCTATAAGGCGGTTTATAAATGTTGTATTTAATCGCTTCAATTATGTTGCACTCCACAGATAAATCGATTGAAATCACTTTCAGTTTGGTGTTATATGTGTATAAAAGAAAATTTGGTCAATTTTAAGTCCTCATGTGGAATACTTTTTACTTTAATAAGACACATTTCGTTGTCCTTAGGAAGGCTGCTCCTCAATTTAATTAGGAAACCGAATCATGCCTACGCGTTGGTTGGAAGATCCAAGGAGTGCCCTTTAAATGTGCCTGCGGAAATATGAACAGTGTCTACCACACCCTTGATTGTAAATTAGGTGGATAAGTTTCCATGCGCCACAATACCATAAGAGACACTGCAGCTTTCTTCCTTCAAGAAGCAAAGTGTAAGGATATAAGGATAGAACCTGCACTCTCTTAAGTTTGTTTATGTACATTTTATACATAATTTATTGTAGCTTTTATATTGTGTACAATTTTACAGACGAAATTATCCCAGGGTGGACTCCCAACCCACCGCTTCGGCGGGTAGTTTCTACACCTTTCACAAGCAATAGCCACTTTGGTCTACTTGCTGCGAGGTGTCTCAGCTACATGGTTGGGGTTCCCCCTTTTTTTTTATTATTAGGAATCCAAACGTTTGTTGATTTAGAATGCTCCACTGAAATATTACTTAAATGAAACCAGTCTCTGTAATGATCACAATAAAAGTCACATGCTAGCCACAATTTTATTGAATGAATAAATCATATGGAACTACATGATATTTTAAGTTATTTCCTTAATTGATCTCATCAGGGAAAAACTGATAAATGTATCAATCATAGACGTAAATTCAACCCTTTTCCTTTAGGATGGCTTGTCAACCTCTTGACCTACAGGAGACTTCCATAACGCAAGAGAATGGACGTACAGAAATTGTCTCAGTTCTTGACAGATGTTTTATGCTTGAAATGAACTTCATGCAGTATAATGCATTCCCTATACACGAGAAAGCAGATAGTCCAATCCAAAGAGAGTGGCACCAGGAGATAAAGATACTTTGTTATGATTTAGAAACTCTACTTTCCTTTCCTCACAGTAAGTTTTGGGTGCAACTAATCCATGATCCAACTCTTCATTCTATGTTGTCTACGTATTTGCAGAAAGCTCCAAGATCATGGGATATTTGGGGAATACCAGACAACTTTATTCCCATTCATAATAAATTGAACAAACTTATCTTTCTCACCTTATTACGAATGTCAACAGATAAGGAATCCAAAGAAAAATTCCTGAGTCCTGATGCATTTGGTTACACAATATATGAGAATTATATGTTTGACATACCTAAGATTATCGATATCTGCAGTTTATATGGTCATCCACACGGTGGTAATGGAATTCTTGTCAATAAGATGCTGACTAACATCTTTACAAAGCAAGAAAGCTATGTTGATGATCTGAAAATGGTTGCCCAGCAATTGAACGAAAGTGTATTGACAAATGTAATAACAAAATATGATGAAGCTCTGACGACTATTGGTCTGTATGACTTGCTCTGTTATTATTATGACACCTGTATGTCACTAATATGCTTGTTTTCGACTTATCCTCCTACTATGAACTATTTTAATGCCTCTCAAATTATCACATCAATTGCCACCATCTATTCCCATCTTTTTCATGACATCAAAGCAAAGCTGAAGAAGATGTCAACTCCTGCCCAGGATCTACAGTCTCTAAAGTCAATTATAAATCGTGGCCAACTAGCCACAGTGAGACTCATTCACAGTGTAATATGGCAGTCTTGTTTTATGGACCAGTTACTTGATGATACTTTACCAACTGATGAACACACTCGCTGTGCTGAGCAGTTTATCGCAGCGTTTTCACTAATTCTTGGGGATGTTCACTTAATGACAAAATATTATCATGAGTGCAACTTGGCTAAGACATTTGCTTTGATAAAAAGTTCAAAAGCTGAAGTGGGACAAGATCATTTTGATTACATTCTTAACGCCATTGAGGTGGAGAAGAGTCCTGAACGGGACACTAGAGATTTGGACAATGTACATTATGAGGGATCTCAAAATTCCCCAGAAATCTTAAGTAAGAAAACTAAAGACTCTGGAAATCCGAATTCTGGAGAGCCGCAAAATATCAAGTTTCTTCTTACAAACATTAAAAACATATTTCCTCAATTTGATGATAGTTTCCTGAAAGAATGCTTAGCTGCTTACTCATACTCTAGTGAAGAAGTTATCACAGCACTGCTGGAGGACAATTTACCGCCTCATCTTAATTCTCTCAAATCACAGACTGCAGAACAAGAACAGCCCGGTTCATCAAAAGAATCAAGTTCTAGCTTTCCTCCTTTGAAATCATTGAATAATGATCAGTCTTCCTCCAAGAGTTCAGAACCTGCAAGCAATGGATCCTATGCATCCAAAGTTTCATCGCTTCTATCCTCCAGACAAAATGTCTTTGATGGTGACGAGTTTGATGTCTTTAATAATCCGAGTCATGAACTTAACTTTGACCAAATTCATATCGGCAAGAAATCTCGTGAGATTATTGACAGTGAGGCATCAACCACAAAAAGGTTTCTTAACTCTAATCCAAAGTTCAACTTGGAGTATGATGAATATGAAGATGAATACGATGATACTTACGACGGATTAGTAGCTGCAGCAGACGGCAGCATGGCTGATGAACCATCTGAGTTTAAGATTAAACCACTCAATGCACCATTACCTGTCGAGGAAGAAGATGATAACGAAGACGGAGATGATAATGAAGAGCAAAATGGCACTGCTGCTGCTCATCAAAATCAGCGAGGCAGATATGCTCCTCGAGGAAACAATCCTGGTTCGAATAGATCAAGAGGCAGAGGAAAGAATAATCAAGGTCAGGGACCTGCTCGAGCCGAGGATAAGAAAGGACAAAAAGCTGATGGGAAAGTCTTACAACAAAGGAAGCGAGATAATGAGAACAAGGGTGTTCGGGGAAATCATAACCGTAAACGAGGTGCAGATAAAAAGAGAATGGGTGGAATGCTGCACATGTAATGTTCGATTGCTTGTTTAGATTGTTTTTAAAGATCTTTGTGACTTAAGTTTTCGTTTTGAATTGAATTTGATATTACAAATTTTACGAAATTTTTCATAGAACTGGTATTAGTTTTCATGTGGCCAATCTATCAAAATGTGGTTGAAAGATAAATTATATAATTTGTTATTTCCATATTTTATTGCGGGGGAAATATACATTTTCTTTCTTCTTTTAGTTGTAATGTTACATCCCTTGTTATGGATAAAATTAGGAATTTCAGTATATTGTGATAGTTCAATATTTGACTCGTTTGACCCATGTTATTAATGGTGGCACAGCTCTCTAAGTAACTGGTGATCAAAAATTATTCACTTTAAAATTCATTGCAGAGTAAAATCTAAAATTGGTTTCATACTCAAAGGTATGTAGTTCTAACATAACATGTTCTCATTGATAGGTGGTATGGCCTCTTGATGTTGACGACGTCATGTAGAGTGCAGAACAAGATGGCTCCAACGGCAAGTTGGGCAGCTTCCAACGGGTCCCCTAACAATGTCATTAGTTTTGCCCAGCCCAAGTCTAAACGTGCTCCTGTCTCTATCCTCAAGGTTTGTCTGTTAATTGTTTTAGAAATTATACTTTAGTTGAACTGCTATTGTGTCATTTCATCGGTTATACGCCAGTTTCTAACTGCTCCCTCCGCAGAAAGCGGACTCTGACACAAGCAGTACTTGTTCTAACAGCAGCATGATAACTTGCAAGAAGCAGTGCCGGTTGAAGGTGCTCAACACTCTCATTAACACTCACGACTGCTTCGAACGGATGAGACAGGTTTGTGACTCGTTCTTCTTCTATCGTTTAATAACAGGTCCCGGAGATCTGACGTATATAAAAGCAAATAACTGAGCACGTGATGCGATAAATTCCAGTTCCATTTTATTAATTTATAAATTAAGCTGCGAAAAGTTGATGATATTATAAGTTTATCGGCATTCTTGTACTATAAATCCAAATATTATTTGGGATTATTCTATCAACATTCAACAATGTATCGTCGAAAATAATTTCTATTTGCATTTACGTACAATTTGTCAATAGTTGTCTTGATGTCGAAGGTGGTAATTTGCATCATCAACATTTAAATGTAATAGCTCTCGTGTATAGCTTTGAGATAATATGCTTTATAAAAATGACAAGCAAGGTTACAGCTTGACAGAGTTTTAGAATTAATTCGTGTTCAGAATATATATGTTTTGACAAGTAAATAAGATGTATTTTTATAGATTCAGGTCCCTTGAGAGTTTTATGGGAAGGATGAAATAAAAGAAACTTTACATCATCCTTGTTGATCACTCTTATAGCTGACAGTAACCAGTAACCACAATCGTTCAGACGACTACTGTTATCCCATGTATCATTTTCATAATAATGTTAAAGTCCGGGCCAGTTTATTTCTCAAAAATTGAAAATTACTAGAAATTAAATGGTTCGGTTGGTAAGTTCGGCTTTTTTTCTATTTCAGGGAAATATTATGAGTCTGTGACGGGACATTTTTGTTCCGTTTGTAATTTGATCATGATGAACTGGTCTGAAATTAGGCGTTTCACTGTACATAATTAATGAAAATATGAGTGATTACAAATCTTGATTATTGTAATTCGATAACTGATTATATTATAAAAAGTAATATGATTACATCATCATCTTTCAGGAGCTGAATGACACGTACGGTAAGATAGATGACCTTGAGGGGGAAATCAAGCTGCTTAGAGAGAGCCACCAGAGCAAGGAGCAAGTGTTGCGGAACCAGATAAAGAGACTGAGAAACGAGCTGGGGATTGGGGGAGTGCTGGATGTAGGCGAGAAGATCTGTGTTAGATTGACCAGGGAGAACAGAACCTTCGGATTTAAACTCTTAGGCAGGGTTGAGGTAAGTCACGTGATATCTTTGTGTTTTTTAGTTACCAGCCTTACTTTTAACGATAAAACCAGTGTTGTATGACCGCGTGTTCCATAATTTACACACAATGTTTACTATGTTGGGTAAACATTGTTTTCGTTACCAGGGGGAGGAAGTAACAAATGAGGAGGAGGACGCGGGAGTGTCCATTGCCTCCCTAACTCACGGGGCACCCGCTCACAAGTGCGGCAAGATACTCATCAGCGATAAAATACTAGAGGTACGAATAAAACTGTTTTTATTTAGTTGATTTGAATTACCTTTGAACTGTTCAGTAACTAATGGTCAGGACACAGTGTTTGAACCGCCTCCCTAGTTGTACACAGTACACGGTGTTAAGATTGCTGTATTATTGTTGAATAGTGAGCACTTTCTGATGATAACACCAGGACCTCTTCTGAGACCTGGCTCTCAGACTTTAATCTAATCAATTTCGAGTCTAAACTTGAGCTCGACATGCATCTGCTGCAAATGAGATCATGTCATGTTGTATCTTGTACACGTCATGGTGTAATGTGTATCGAGTATCAACCAGCTGCACCCATACTATTTGCTGTGATCTCTTTCTTTTGGATTGATCTAAACTAGAAAATAATAGTGATTATATTAAAATTGTTTCAGATAAATTCTCAAGACATGAGTCGAAGTACGTGTTCAGAAGTTGAGACCTTGATCAGAAACTCTCCAGACACCATGAATCTGGTCCTGTTGAGAACCAACGACAGTAGACCCTACAGACCTATCCCTAGCACACCCACAACCCCCACCAACACCACTACACCCCCCTCAGCACCTTCAGTACCACATATATCCTCCTCCCAACACAACACTCCTCTCGTCTCAACCCCCAGATTACCCTCTAGTTTAACTTACCAGCCAGTACCTCCGCCTCGCACTACTTCCCAATCTCGCTATCAACCTCACACGCCTCTTTCACCTCGCTCACAAGCCAATCACTCACAAACGCCTCACTCACAGACCACTCCAGACCCCTCGCCTCGTCCTCAGACCCTCCCTCTCACAAAAGATCACGTGTCATCTCTCTCGGACCCGTCCCATTCCTCCCTACCTCGCTCACTCCCTCTCCGACTTCTCTCTGACGAGGACTTCGACAGACTCTCAGCTATTGGACTCCCTGAGGACAACTTGGACGACAGTCAAGATAAATGTGTAAGTTGATACCGCGTATGTCTTCTTCATAGGTCAACCAATTAGATGCATTGGTAATGGTCACGCGGGAACTCATTCCTGATTTCAAGAGGGAAACTCCCTGTTATTTAATTATCAGTTTAAAGTGCTCACCGATGATCAATCGAAATTTGAACTGTAACGGTCACAATATTAAATCAATTTGGAGGCAGTTGGACCATATTTATATCCAGATATAATATGTATGTAAATTCCCTTCAATAGAAATTAGATATTGACTTAGAGCTTACTGTAAATCTCTCATGATATTATACTACGTCAACAGCTGACAGTAAAACTAATTTAATAGCTAGAATTATGTAACTAAGGACACAGCGGCAGTGAGCCACCATTTGAATATTACCGCTATAATATGTACTACATGAACCGTTACACTTTAACAACTAACGATAAGAGTCGTGTAAGTGGTCTATTCATAATGTTGGGATTATTAATCTGATAACTATTTCTAAGAAAAAAAATGCTGATCCAGAAGAATAATAATACTCCCATTTATATCTTTACATCGCTCAGTGACCAAAACATGAAAAACGCTTTGTTTTTACGACATTTATACTGTTTGAAAATGCTTGAAATCAATTTATCAATTAACCAAGTTAACTTTAAATAGTAAACACAGTCTGATTGATCGTCTTCTTCAACCCCAAATATATGGATATCATCAATCATCATACAATGTCCTTCATAACCTATCACATTTCAAACATTTGTCTCATGGATAAAGAACTGTTGCGAAGGTTCATCCCTCAAGTTATCTACAGCAACAGAAGTAAAAACACTATCCATGTTACTATTTGCAACTTCGTAGTTTCCCTCCTGAGTTTTATTGAAAAACTGGGTTACACTTCCTGAAATTTCAGAAGATTTTAATCGTATGAATTTCCGGAAGCTTGGGATGGTAAGGCTGTAAATATAAAAGTTAGACATGATATTCAATGCTATCAGAAACTCGGCAATTCTCACAAAATGATTTTTATCTGAATCTGACATGGCCACATAAGGTACAATACTGCTTGGAATGACAGAAATGCAATACACTGTAACCGTGGCAACCACCATCACAAACCCTTGCCATCTTCTCCGTCCTCTACTACGATAAGCAATCTTCCTTGATTTGATCAGGTAGATCAAGGTACAAAACAGAGCCACCATCACAGTTACAGTTGGGATGTCCAGTGTTAGGACAGTAGCAACTATTGTTATCACTTTCACTGTAGAAGTAGATCTGGAAGAAAGACCGTAGTTTATGTTATAAGTCGTGTGACTGAACACAAGTCCATCTGTATCAAATATGAACCGTAACACTGGAAACACATTAACCAACACCCACACCCCTCCACAGACTATGTGGGCCCCCTTTACAGTCCAACATCTGGTTTGTAGAGGATACCTCAGTAGCAGAAACTTTCCCGTTGATAACACACAAATCAGAACGTTAGCTGCTTGGAACGTGGTAACATCTAAATATAACATTATGTACGCCAATGTTTCCCCCAGAATCCACCGTTCAGAAATAAGTGATATCATGGTGGGTAAGACAAAGGAGATAGTTGCCAGGAGATCACAGACAGCTATGTGTTGCATCACAACTACTATAATCTTGTTGAGTTTTAGTGCGTTGTGTCGGATTGAAGCTACTAGAATGATTGAGTCTCCAATCAATGAGGATATAAGCACTATCAGGAGATAAGAAATCCAGAAATATTTTTCTCCTTTGCTCTGTATTCCGTAATCGGTGTGGTTGTCGGACAAAATGGTCATAATACCTCAAGTGTAATTACCGAAACAAAACTGGAAGGATTATTATTAGAAAATGTGTTTACTATCGCAAAGTAGGGTCACTAAAAATCAACTTTAAAGAATAATGTATGGTTCTAACTTGTATCGCTAAATCAACATTTGTAAAAGTAGTTAACATTGTGAGATAAATTCAACAGAAAAGCGAATGTGTGTGACCTGCACTACAAAGTGTAGAAAGAAGTGGAAGGATGTTCGTGCATAATATTTAAAGCTATAAGTACCAACCCTTAACAAATTATAGTATCTAGGAGGAAATACCATTGTTCAACCTAAACATAAAGCACATGCTGTTATAAACATGTTATAAACACTACAGCACACGTGTCATGAAGGAGAGTTAATGTCCATATTTAGCAAGTATAATGCTCTAAAAGTCAACTATATACTACGATCTCAACCACAGAAATAACTCCTGTGCTGTCATTTGTTGAAATTTTAATTAGCAGCTACCAAGTGGTTTGTATCAACCGGAAATGGATTCTGTTGTGATATTCATTAATGTGACATAATTAGGTCAGTTACTGTCAAAAATTGGAATATAATTGAATATTGCATCATTTAAATATATTGTACACCTTCGAGAGTAGGACCTAGAGACGTGGTTTCCCTGCACTTTCAGTTGTAAATGTTACCGAGTCTTTTAATCGAATCGGAGTGGTATAAAAAGACGCTCACATTACTTCAAAATAATCGTTATATGCTCCAATAATTTAATAATACTATACTGTTCCCATACTGCTATTCAATTACCCCCAATAGTTGTATGACCAGTCCTGAGAGGAACTAGAGCCGATTTCATTAGTCTGGTTCGCTGTTAAATCTGTGCTTTCTAAATAATTGAGCATGGGCCACCGGCCAAGGCTAAGTAGCCATTGTAGGTACATGTAGAGTATGTTTGTTGACAAATATCACACCTTCTGGCTATTTCATACCTTGGTTCCTTCTGTGTAAGTAAAGTTATTGTCACGCTCGGTTACAGTTGGGGTTACAGAGTTACAGTCTTGGTTTGGGTTAAAATTGGGATCATGGGTGATTATTGATTGGGTTAGTTTTAGATTCATGTCTAGTGTTTACCATGTGAACCGATAAGTCGCCTCAGCGCTTTATCATCGATAATGCTATCTTCTTAAAATAAACATTAGAAACTGACCCCCTTACAATTTCAGTCTAACCTATCGGATATCAGCATAGACCCTGACGGAGATTACTTAGACTACACGATAGACAGTGAAATCAGCAAACTCAGCCCCGATCCCAACGATCGTCTGTTATCTCCTAGGAACCACGTGACAAGTGACCAAGCTAGTGATGATCACATCAGCAGCGACTTCAGGAGCGAAGCTACGGATATAACAAAGAGTGATGCTACGGATATAACTGATGTTGTGGATATTCTAGGTGATCCTCGGGAGTACGAGGTGAGACCTTCTTCTCTCTTTAATTTGGTTATTATTCAAGTGAGGTAGTATATAGTAATGAATAAAACTTATTATATTGTGGCCCCGGGTCACGGTTAACTTACGGTTTCCTCCGTAAACGGAAACCTCTATATAATAAATCACCAAAGTCTCAAAGTCACTTACCATCACACACTGATCATGCCGCTGAAGAAGAAAGAGTGCGGTGACTTAACATTCTTTGTGTAATTAATCTCAGTTCCTCAAATCTGCCTGGAACACTCACCTTATAGTTACTTCAATAGCTTTGTGTCACAATGTGATAGGCGATGGCCATTAGTAACCATGGCAACCACCAACACATTTACACTCTAATAAGTTTGTCCCATTATTATGTCCGGGATGTAGAACTTTAAGAAGCCCTGTTTTGTGTCACACGGTTTATTAAATTCGTGTCAAGTTAGACCGGATTGGATATTTCAATCTCTTCTCAAATATCATGCTAACCTTATCTTTTCCTTGGGAATGCTACAGAAGTCGGAATCTTTGAATAAAGCCGACCAAGGATCACAATCACCTTTGTCCATTGTCCAGATGTTACGATTACATATTTCTGGCTGTTATTTGAAACCAAAAGATTTACAATTCAAACGATCCTTGGAATTTGGCCAAGTGATCTTTCGGACGATTTGATGTGCTCAGGAGAATGACTTCTTGCAAATTTACGGAACTGAGTTTTGCTAATGGCTTTGCATGCAATACATTGCTGGAATAAGTAGCTTCTCGTGCCTGATAGAAATTGTTGTCTGTACTGAAACACAGCTCCGCTTGCCAGTACAGACGGAGTTTAAAGTTAGTGGTTTTAAAACGGCTGTTTTGAATCACTGGCTTAGTTTGTGTAGCAGCCGGCTGCTTGCTGTTTCAGTATCAGTTCACAGGAAGGCAAGCAAGATTTTAAAATAATACTTGGCGCTACTTGATACGGTGGTATGATTACGGCACGGTGTTTATCAGGGGCGTGTTTGTCATTCTTTAATAAATTGATGCTCTGGAAGGAACATTTAAAATTATTTGCCTCCACTATAGGCGGAGATTAATCAAAGCATGGCCGACAACTGACAAGCCTTCGAGTCCTAGACAATCTTTAATTAAACCAGATAGAGCTTTCAATTCTATAAATCTGAATTAAGAATGTATCAGGTCACTATTTAGCTGATGAAGCTGTTAGTTGGCTCTTATTTCAGCACTATAAATGATTCACCCTTGTAACTGTAACTGGTATCTGATATTGTTAACAGTTGCAATTGTCCTCTAATTCAATGTCCTAAGTGGCAGCATGTTTGCTGGCAATACTAAGGATTACATGAAAAGGACCCGCTCTGCAGCTCAAGTACCCGATTACATTACCGAGCACTGCTCGCTGTTGAGATCTTCCAAACGACAGTTCTTGTGAAATGCAATTTGTACGAGATTCGTTATGAGCACCTTGGATGACAGTGTCTAATCTGATGGGAATTTCTGCAGGATAAGCGCAAAAAACCATGGATATGTTGGAATTTCAGGCCATTATATTTATCGTGTAGGCAGCATCACAACCGTGATGAGTCGTACATGATATACAATTATAAGCACAATATGCTTCTTATTTGTCTTTAGAGGAATGTGATGGGAATGTAATCTACTGATCTATATTGCTGACAGTCAACTACACACCCTATACGTAGTAGCTGAAGCTATAGCTAAAACTTAGAGTGGTCGGTTTTAGCTATCATAATCACTTATCACCGTTTAACTTATCAAGTTAGAGTTAGAGGCAATTGGTTTGGAGATGAAGACTGACAGCAGATATCGGTCAGCATCTAGTCTTTATTGCAAGGCTTGATCATGATATTGTATGATCATTGATCATACCGACATACCATATCAATTATCTCTAAACTACACTGATAAGTGATAATGACACGTGTCTGTTCTATAGACTATATTATAGTAGATTACTGTACTATATATTTTCTCGGATGAGTCTTCGAAGGTGATTTTACCCACGTACGCAATTCTCCACATATTCCGGGGTCAATGCTGGTAGTATTCTCACATGTGCCTGAGTAAGCTATTCCTCTCTACGACTGGGTTTAACTTTTTTCAGCTCATGTGACTGTGAGGCCATGGTACCCGCGTTACTGGTGTCCTCCGTGCATTATTACCAGGGTCAGAGACAGATATTATAGTTATAACCACTCTCTAACTCCGTCTCTAACAGGAAATAATACTGACGAAAAGAGAAGGAATGCTAGGAATTGATCTAACGTACGGAACGGACACGCTACAAGGTGCTCTCTTCGTACATTCCATCAAACCTGGCAGTCCTGCTGAATTGTACGGTAGACCGCTTCTACATGACCAGATTGTAAAGGTAGCTGTTTATTTCATATTTAGTTTTAATGAATATCCTTTGTATTTAATATGCTTTATTATATTTTTTCTTCCTTGTTTGGTATCATCAAAACTGTTGTGTACAGCTGATCACTTGCAATGATGGTCAAGTAAAATATGTCTATTTATATCATCAATGCAATATATTTCGTGCGTCAGTATCATTAGATTTCTTCATGTGACTGAGATAAAAATACATTTGCATATTTAAGAGTAATTGTTTCAGTTTTTAGTCTATGGGACTTTGCATTTTAAATTGTTTCGTTGACTAAGAACAGGTTATGTTATAATTGTTTAAATAATATAAATAGTATAAATGTTGTAGAATCAGAAGAGTGATTGCCGATTGGGCTGTTAGTTTTGTTTTGACCAGAATTGTTAACATTGACTTTATTTCAGATAAACAGTTTAGAAATAGGTGTGGATATAATGTGTGACGAAGTTAAACCCCTTCTGACAGACGATAATCCGTCAGTGAAACTTGAGCTTGCGCGGCCCAAGAAACACGTGAGTGTCACATGTCACATGTCACATGTCTAGCTCATGTTACTATCTACTGTTACTGCTACTGTATTCTGGTGTGAGGCTCGTATCATCTAGACACAGAACCTGAAATATTTCATAAATTCTGATAAACAGCGCTATAACGACAAAATAAAATAATAGTTGCAAAACTGACCATTATACAAACAATTTCTTCTTATTTCTTCCGGCCTTTTCCCCATCAATTTCCTACACACATAACAATATTGAATATCATTATCTATAAATTGCTGAGTGCTACAAATCTAGTTAAGGACGGTAACAGAAATCATTAACCAGAACGCGCCCAGGAATCCCAGCTATGTGCCGACACTATATTATGTGGATATAGATCCACCTGTTCACGCTTCTTACATAAGGAGGAGCCCCTTCTACGTAATTTACATACAAACCATTGTACACATTGTTCTTTTGTAGACACAATGTAGATTGTAGATACCCACGTTAGTTATAAGTATAGAGCTCTGTACCAATGGTTGTCTGTTGTTTCAGGAAGTCAGGATAAAACGAAAAGTTGGACAAAGTTTGGGGATGATGGTGGCGGTTAGTAAGGTGGAGGATGACAAATCTGTTATCATCAGTACTGTCGACCCTAACGGGCTTGTCGCCAAATATGGTCTGATAAAGGGACTTACTTTGTACATGGTGAGTCCATTAAGATTTTAACAAAATATTATATGTAGTTTGAATTCCTAATCTGTACACTTCTGTCGAGGGAACCACGTGACGTTTATCTTGCAGGCAGGCGCGAGGACATTTTGTCACGGAAAGCAACAAAATCGTCAGGTGGCAGTGTTAATGTCACGTACGTACGTACGCGACGTTACACCACGCGCAAAATAAAAACATAGCTTTTATGATTAATTAATCGATCGTTCGTTCGATTCTATCTTATTCGATACATATTCGGTTGATAAATCGAATAAAAGTGGTTTTCGTCAGATTGATATTTGTAAGTTTGTCAAGCTATTTAGCAGATTCTTCAGTAGGTTGTGCTTAGATGCTCCTTCATAAAGATGAAATTGCTAGGTAACCTATTGATCCCCTACTAATAGGACACTTCGCACGTGCTAATTATCAATTTTGATATTTCCACATTCATACGCTTGAAAAGACAACTCGTATAACTATCCTAAATCATTTAAAATGGTTTTCTCTACACTCTTCAACAAAAGATCTAGTTACGAGATCACAGAGGTTGAAAGCATCAACATCGAACCCGATTTTTCGGTTCCTGCCATATCTCCCGGTTCAAATTCTCGCGAGGAAAGAAATAGCTCCTTCGCTCTTCCAGGATTTATTGGAGAAGATACGGAGGTTCTTGGATGTGCTGATTGGACCGAATCCTTCACAAGTTGTGAAGAGACTAAAGCCATGCCTTCCTTTAATTTACTCCCCAATGGAAGAAGGAAGAAGAGTTTCCGAACGAAGATCAGGAACTCTTTCAACAGAAAAATGAATTTCCGAAGAGCTGCGTACGCAGTCGATAGTCGGACTACTTCGGTGGGAGACAGTCTTACTGCATCATCAAAGATGGTAAAGACTTTTGTCCGTGACACCATGGAACGGCTGAGGCCAACTGAGGCCAACTGGGCAGACTTTGACGAGCTGTTCAGTGGAACCAACACACAGTTCATTCCACTCATGAACATGAACCCTATGACAAGACTATGAAGAGGTGTTTAGAGAATAAAAAAGGAAACTTAAAGTCTAAAGAAGACCGAAACTGATATACAACTCTTGTAGTTTTATAAGCTGCTAATGAAAACATCACAAAGAGAAATGATTGAAGTTCCCTCCGAAGATCGAGGCAAAACTGACGTCGAAGAAACAAAATTGCATTTCACATTATTTATTACTTATTATTGTTGTTATTAAAAAAGGTGAAAAAAAACTGAAAAAAAACCCAAAAAGTACAAAAAAATATATATTCCATAAACACAAAAAAATATTTTCTATTTATTCTTACCACTTTCCGAGACCCGGACCCGAATTTGTAGTTTTACTTGTACTAAAAGCTAATTATAAGCGAACAAATCGAGGACAATCAAACTCATAACTGGAAAAACTGTATCTTCTGCACTGGTGTGATGAATTCAATCAGATATTAGGTCCGGGATAATGATCAAATAATCAGTGTTGCTGCTTTTCCTCTACAGATTTTTTCATATGAACAGGGTTTTAACTTATTTACCTATTTCATTTTCTAATGTATTTAATTTCGCCTTCTCTTTCAGGTGAACGACGTAGCGCTCTCAGGTCTGGGACTTAAGCAGGCGGTTGAAATCCTTGCCGGCTGTGTTGGAGAAATCACTCTTACTGTGTTTGTACATCCCAACTTTTCGCCGTACCAACCTCCGAGACCACCGACGCCCTACCCTCTACCGGGACAAACCGAAGACGAAGTAACTGAGAGAAGTGTAAAATTCAGTCTTCCACCATCTCCCTCTAGATCTAACACCAGCGCTGGTTCTATTGAGAGTTTACCCAGAGATCCTAGCATTGGCTCTTCTCCCAGGACAAGCTCCGTCGATAGATCTCCTGTTAGAGGTCGCAGTCCTATCTCTAGTTTTGACGAGAGGCCAAGAGTTCTCCAACCTTTCCCTCGAGGTTACGGGAGCCCGTCAATGAATCTGATAAACACAGATTGGTCACTAGACAGGTCCTTAACTACTGAGAGTAGTCTCAAGTCTCTTAGGTCAAGTAATCGAGACGTGATACGAGGTCCGGTCCGGGTATCTCACAACACAATCCCAACAAACATCCTACCCATGCCGGTCAGCTTGGAGAGCAGTTTCGCTGAAAGTAGTTACAGTACCCCAAGCAAAAGCAGGCCAGTGCCAACTCCACACCCCTCCCTAAACACCTCCGCTACTACAGCACCGCCTCTTCCCACATACGAGAACCTACACCGCTCCTCAGTGGTCTCGTCAGAGTATGAGAATATCCAGGCTAGGTATCCTGACTACAGAGCAAGTCCTGCACCCTCGCTCCAGCGACCAACCCCACAAACCCCTCGACAAGCTCCCTCCCCAAGACCCAGAGTGGTTGGCCGCTCCCCTCAGATCTCGCCAGCTCCTTCTTCTTCGGCTCAATCTTCTTCCAATAGAGGGACTCCAGGGAGAGTAATGGGGCGCCGTGAGCGGGCCGCTGTAACCGGCGATAGAAAGGTCCAATTTGGCGGGTTTAAACCTATTAATCCTGCTCGAGATGAGGATGAACATTATGTGTAGAGATCTGTTTACTTTTTGTTGGAGTTTAATTTTTTCGATGTGCATTGTAAATTTAAATTAAGATCAGTAAGCTGTTATTGCAGTGTGAAGGGTCAATTTGGTCTTATATGTCATGGGATTAGTTTTTTTGATTGTTTAAGAACATCAGCCTATCATTAAATTTCCGTGGTTTTCAATCGATGATCACAGTTTACTGTGTGCAAATCAATGATGTCTTTGACACAATGCACAATACACATAATATTGTCTTTATATATCATGTCCATACCCAGGATACATGACATAAAGAATTTGGTTTAACTTGTTTGTATGAAAAGCATCAATATGGGTTTTACGTCACAGGTCTAGGACCAGCGTTAAAGAATGTTATCACATATTTTTAACTTGATTTTTATCCATATATTTTATAACAGACAAGGGTGAAGTCCCTCAGAACAGCATGTAAATAATTAATAAGTTATCATATTATATTTTATTGAAAGATGTAAATTAGATGTGAATAGTCATTTTCATTCACCTAATTCCCCTTTGTAGATAGAACTATTTAATTATATTTTGACTGTATAACATTATATAACTGTTGATTACTGATTATAGTTTACGTTTATTTTTGTTCGAAGTTGAACACGTTGTCTTATTGTTCTTCTACTTCTAGAGGGGGTTAATGAAGCATAAATGACAGTCTTTTGGTAACAGAAGCTTTTTAAAAGTGTTAATCAGCTATTCTTCAAATTTTTAGCTTAATGATAAATATGCTAATCATATTGACTGTTTATCCAAAAACTAAAAGTCTGTAAAATTCCACTAATAAGATACATTTAATTAGTAGTGGGATTGCGATGATACGGAGGGGTGGTATATGCCTGAGGAACTCTATAAAACTACACCAGATAAGGAACTTCACTCCCACTGCAGAACACGAGGCTCTGAGAGAGAACCTCCTGAAACTAATAGAGAAGGAGATAAACCCGCACTGTGCGAAGTGGGAGGAGCAAAAGAGTTTCCCAGCTCATGAAGTGTTTAAAATACTAGGTGTGTTCCTTCTCCATTTAAGTGCTTACGTAAAATGAATCGTGTTAATTTTTTTTTAAAATGTAATCAAAAAATTCAACACTGACGCTAAGACTATTTTTAATTTATAATGTCGTTTTTATTATTTTAGATTGTTAATCCAGATTGATATTTCAGGGGATGCAGGCTACCTGGGTATCTCCAAACCAGTCGAGTATGGAGGAATGGGTTTGGACATCAGCTACGAAGCTGTGGCTGCTGAAACGTACGCGTATATCAACTCAGGGGGAGTAGGGATGGGTATTGGCATCCAATGTGACATCGCCACCCCAGTACTTGTAAAACACGGCACTAAGAAGTTGAAAGAGTTGTTCTTGAGACCCACCATCTCCGGAGAGAAGGTGGCTTGTTTGGGAGTTAGTGAGGTTGGTGGAGGGTCAGATGTTGCTTCACTGAAGACCACTGCGCGAAGGGATGGGGACGATTGGGTCATTAACGGCGGGAAGATGTGGACCACAAACGGAGCACAAGCTGATTGGATGTGTCTGCTGGCGAACACTTCTAAGGGAGACCATCACCGGAACAAGTCTCAGTTTTGTGTCCCTATGGATACCCCTGGGGTGGCAGTTCACAGGTTGGTGGTTAATATCTACTCTTCCTCTATCATGATAAGACTATAATTTAACTCATACTGGTGCTGGAAACCTTAATTCCTCAGTATAGAAATACTGCCCTTGTAAAGAATAAATCAAAGCAAAACCATCACTAACATGCCGTAATCTCTATCTGCTCAGGGTGATAGATAAGATGGGCATGCACGCCTCTGACACAGCAGAGATAACGTTTGATAATGTCCGAATTCCACACGATCACATTATCGGAGAGGAAGGAAAGGGTTTCACTTACCAGATGCAGACATTCCAGAACGAACGCATGTTAGTTTACCTCCTTAACATTTAACTCTGCCCCTTTTCACTTTTACATTTACCATTTTACTTATGATCATACAATTAGATCAAGTAGCTTATTCCGTGATGTTTCAGCTACATAGCGGCGGGTACGATAGCAGCAATGGATAGGTGCATGGCAGAGACTATTGAGTACACATCGCAGAGACAGGCGTTTGGAAAGTCTATCCTTGATAACCAGTACGTCCATTACAAGCTGGCTGAGTTTCAAACCGAGGTATAGTTTCAAAGTTTGAAATTTAATAATATATTTATTTTTCTCATCGGGTTCTGATATTTCATCATCTTATTAATCAGCTTGTTAATGATAATCAGCTAAATCAATTAATCCTCTTTTTCAGTTGGAGTGTGTTCGGGCTCTGTATTATAAGTGTATTGACGACTATATAGCCGGAGAAGACATCACCCCTCTTGCTACAATGTTGAAATTGAAGTCTGCTAGATTAGCTAGACAACTTACAGATGGTTGTCTCCAGTTCTGGGGAGGTAATGCACATTCCTTTGTCATGATTTCTTGCAGAACTTATTGTATTAAAACTGAAATATTAAAACCACGATTTGTAAATGTTCCACACCTAAGTATTTTGATACTGTCAAGAGGCCAGGTTTCTCAAATCAATATCCACAGGTATGGGTTATACGGACGACGTCCTTGTCTCCAAGATGTTCCGGGATTTGAGGCTAATGTCCATCGGAGGTGGAGCAGATGAAGTGATGTTGAGTATTCTTTGCAAATTCATGGGCACCTCACCTGACATGCGATGAGTGCAGTTTTTAAGAGATCTTACTGAGTATTGACTGTTTTTGCAGATTAACTACAGCAATGCTCTGCTTATTGAGTCATAGTCTCGACTTGATTAAATTTAACTGATTTTATAGGATTTATCCCATTTTAAAAGTAATTTATTCTAATTTCAATTCAGAGAAATATGAAGAAATCTTCTTTTATACGTTTTTATAAAAATATGAGATCGCTCACATATTTTGTAGTAGCCCCCAAGGCTAGTTTACCTAACAGTATATCTTTTCATTTTTATTCAGAAGCGTTAACATTAAACCATTTCTAAATGAAATGCATTACTTTATGAAATATCGATAAAATTGTTAAACAATTGGGTGATGATATTTTATATTCCTTCTGGAATTTTGATTTTTATGTGGCTTAATTTTTGTGTAATTTTCTGTCAGCTGTTATTGTATCAAGTTTATAAATTGATATCCAATTATTTATCCGTTTTCAAGGTGATAAAATCAAGTTTCATTTGGACTGTTCAACAATTACAAGCTCCAGACGCATGGGTTAAGGAGTTTAAAATAGTTGAGTAAGCGAAAGGTCGCGTTTTCTGGCCGTCCAGCAGATTAGCTGTAACTTTAAATTTAATTTACATTTGGTGTTCAATCAATCGATCGTTCGTTCGATTCGATCGTACTCAATACATATTCGGTTGATAAATCGAATAAAAGTGGTTTTCGTCGGATTGATATTTGTAAGTTAGCCAAGTTACTTAACACTAACAGAGCGTATTTTATCATATTTTATACAACCTGGGGACCCCAAGATTTACTGTTTATGAGCATGCATGCAGATATCAGATTTGATTGACGGTGTCAACCCATCGAGATCGTTGCTCTGCGAAGCAAGAATGCTAGTTTGCGCGGCGCGTCGAAGCGGCGAAGTCCTCCAAATATCAGATATGAGTATGACGGAGTGGTAGCAGGTATAGTAGGCCGCGCTCCTACTAGTACTAAATCGCTCGCCCAAATTTTAAGAAAATTCTTGTGAAAAGGTCCTTTGGGTGTGAAATTGATCTGAATCTGTGTTTGATTCACGATGTCAATCCTTCGCAGCTCGGTGAGGCACAGTGGTGCATCTCGCCGATCTACCGATGCGAGAAGCATTATTTGATGCGCGCGCGACCCAGTAGTGCATCGCGCTACAAAATCTGTGTATTTTTGGACGCTGATTCCGAATCACCCTAAGTAAAAGGGGTGCACGATAAAAATGAACTTGCTCGGGTTTTAAAAGTTTTTGTACCACTGTTTTCTAAAGACTGTGAGAATTTTCACAATACCAAATTTGTCATACTATTTGTTTATTTTTATACCTTTTTGGAAAGATCAGTGAGTTTCGCCTAGGTGCCATATTTGATGGTGCGCGGCTTTTGGAGTAAAAGTCGCGTAATTTGACCAAATTCGTTGATTTTTGTCGTATTATTCGGATATATCTTCGGTTCCTTGACACTTGAATTGTGAATGAGATCATTCTGAAAATTGACGACGACCTTCCAATAAAGCTTTCACAACTGTCCGAAAAATTTGATGGATATCGGAGTTGATATAGTGTTCAAAATGGGACAAAATACGCTGCTTTTAGCTGTAACATGAACATAATGTCTGATGGTTGGATATGCTTTAAACTTTTCGGACACTTTCCTTGTAAGTCTATGAGTAAGCTTACCAATTTTTGTTGCAATTGGAGGTCGGGAAGAATACTCAATATCTATTTGTTTGAAGAAAATTGTGCTGGCCGAAATTAGCGCTAAAAAACCATCCTACAGTCGGCACGCGCGGCTCACTGTCGATGGCGCACTACCTAATCACCCCACATGACGTAGGGTAAACCCAGCAGACCTTACCGGCTAGCGATATTACTACAGGGTGATCGCCTTTTCACAGCTTGTTGAGCTCCGCGCGCGCTCGTGAGTTCATTGCATTTGTACGCTTCAAACATTCCAAAGATGCAATTGTACCGCGTACCACGTGATACGATTCAGCCAATCAGAGAACAACAATCTGCAAAGTTAAACCTGCGCAGTTTTATATGACCTAAAATATGACTTTTCGCGATAATTCAAAATCTACGTTGTTTTTAATTTTCCCCCTGGGGGGAAACGTTATTTTTACAAGGCGAACATTTTATTGAAAACCAGACGTTTCTATCTCTTTTACTTTCAAAGTTAGGCTCCAGCCAGTAAGGTTTCCTGGGAAAATGCTTCCACGGAGAGTTATGGGCAAAAAAACGTTTTGGTCACGTGACAGGCTAGTAAAACATGAATTCGATTGTTTAGGGCCCGGGTTAGGGTTAGGGTTGTGGTAAGGGTTATGGTTAGCTTCGGGGTTATGGTTAGGCCTAGGGTTGGTCGTTGGAATTAGGGTTATTGTAAAACCGTTTTGTACGGCCGGCTGCAAAACCATAAAAACCAAAATCACGTGAAATTTTTGGGCGAGCGAATTAGTAAAAGCCGGTAAGCCGAGATCCGCCCAGTTAATTCCATATTGATTGAATTTGAAAATCGTGTATACAGTATATTTCTATTATGTAACTATATATTTCTATTATGTAACTGTATATGCTTGTAGCGCGATGCACTACTGGGTCGCGCGCGCATCAAATAATGCTTCTCGTATGCAGATCGGCGAGATGCGAAGGATTGACATCGTGAATCAACTATATGCTTATTTTTTATGCATTTTGATATGACACGGATCTGTGCAAAGTAGTAACACTAACTCGAAATAGTATGCTATCAATTAGTGCCTAGTGTGTAGTGGGATACGACACATGCAACATGGTGAAATTAACGATTTAATTGATCGGTTCAGCGCCAATAATAATTTAATTCAGAATATCTCGAAAAATAACTTTGCGCAGGCTAGTCAGGAACGTGGGCGACATTGCTAGGTAACCTCCTGATCCCTACTAATTGGACACATCGCACGTGCTAATTATCAATTTTGATATTTCCACATTCATACGCTTGAAAATACAACTCATACAACTATTCTTAATCATTTAAAATGGTTTTCTCTACGCTCTTCACCAAAGGCAAATTCAAAAGATCTAGTTACGAGAACACAGAGGTTGAAAGCATCAACATCGAACCCGTTTTCTCGGTTCCCGTTCCCGGATCAAACTCTCGCGAGGAAAGAAATAGCTCCTTCGCTCTTCCAGGATTTATTGGAGAAAATTCAGAAGAGGTTCTTGAATATACTGATTGGACTGAATCCTTCACAAGTTGTGAAGAGACTAAAGCCATGCCTTCCTTTAATTTACTCCCCAATGGAAGAAGGAAGAAGAGTTTCCGAACGAAGATGGAAGATCAGGAACTCCTTCAGTAGGAAAATGAATTTCCGAAGAGCTGCGTACGCAGTCGATAGTCGGTCTACCTCGTTGGGAGACAGTCTTACTGCATCATCAAAGATGTTAAAGACTTTTGTCCGTGACACCATGGAACGGCTGAGGCCAACTGAGGCCAACTGGGCAGACTTTGACGAGCTGTTCAGTGGAACCAACACACAGTTCATTCCACTCATGAACATGAACCCTATGACAAGAAGATGAAGAGGTGTTTAGAGAATAAAAAAGGATACTTAAAGTCTAAAGAAGACCGAAACTGATGTACAACTCTTATGTAGGTTTATACATTATAAGCTGCTAATGCAAACATCACAAAGAAAAATGACTGAAGTTCCCTCCGAAGATCGAGGCGAAACTGACGGCGAAGAAACAAAATTGCATTTCACATTATTCATTACCTATTATTGTTGTTATTACAAAAGATGAAAAAAATCTGAAAAAACCCAAAAAGTACAAAAAAATACATATCACAATGCTGGCAAGCATTACCGTCGCCCTTATATTCACAACACTATTTACCCCCTATACGATTATATCCCCTTTATTGTTTTCCAGGCATTAAGACTCATCGAAAGTAGTTCAGCAGGTACATTTAAGTTCAAAACATTCTAATTCAATGTTGAAGATGACAGGAATAAGAAATAGTTGTATGGAGGTTTTTAAGAAATTTGCGCAAAATACGCGCCAGCATGTTATACGAAATTAGGTAAAAAACCCAAAATCGCCATATTCAGGTGCCTTAAAAACCATGTTAAAATTGAGTTAGAGATCTGAAACTTTGCAGGGCGTCTAGACCTTGTCCAAATCGACTGTAAAAAAAATGTCATGTTTCAGGAGTATCGGGAAGTGGGTTTTCTGGAACCCCTGTTTTACAACAGATTGTCGTGAAGATATATATGTATGTATAGACGCTTTTTGCAGTCAATTGTAGCCTACATTTAAGTGTCCGTAGATTCAAAAGTATAAACGATACAGTCATTTCGAACCACAGGTTTTAAAGATAATTGTTTAAGCTTTAGTTTACATTGTATTGAAAAATAATTTAACGTCATCATCATCACTTGATGACGTCATCAAGTTAAGTGTTTTTAAAACTTGACTTTTGACAAAGTAACAACTTTTTAAATCGATTTTACACTATTAAGGAGTAATTTTATTCAAAATCTGAGGACATTTTCATCTTAGATAATTGTTCAAGCATTCCGAAAATCTACCGGAATAGTTTCCTACCTTGCTCCTTCATAAAGATATTTGCTATTGAAGTTAGTGCTTTTTTGAAGAATAATTTTATAAAAACACAAAAGTTGTGAATTAGTATTCTCTGGTGTTGGGCCATCCCTTGGGTTGTGGAGCTCAATTTTGCTTCTTAAAGGTGTAAATTGTGTTATAGGCTAGTTTTAAAGTTAAAAATCGAAAAGTTGCACACGTGGGGACACGCCCAAATTCATTTAAAATCGCTAAAATCGCTAAAAATTTTGATTTTCACGATTTTTATCAACTTTGGAGTCCCGCTGTGATCCAAGTTCTTTTTGAAATCTTCTGAAACTTTGCATGCTTATCAAACTATATATTAAATACCACTATGCAAAAATTTACGGTGATTCAATATTGTATGCGCACGCGACGTCCGCTCAAAGTTTGCACGTGCGAAAGGTGAGAAATTTGCTCATTCGTGATTTCGAATATATTCTGCTTTCCACGATATTTAAATGGCATTATATATGAATTTAATGCCAACTTGAATGAGTAAAAAGTGCCATATTCAGTCGGTTATCGACAGAAATACCTAACTAAACACAAGGAAACGTTTTCAAAGGCAGAATTTCGAAATCGTCGAAATTACCTCCTTGTTAATGAAGTTTCGACTAGCTGTGTAAATTATCCTGACATTATAATCAAAAAGAGATGATATTTGACCAAAACCCATAATCATGGGTAGAGTGTACCGCTGCCAGTGTCTCTCTTTTCCAAACAAAAGGAAATGATATTAATTTGAGGAACAGTCCGCTAATGCAAATTGATACCGAGAATGAAATCGGTCGCTCGCTTTTTCCATTCGATCACGGCTTACGAATTGTAATAAAGCTTATTGATTTGAAAAAGCGAGCGACCGATTTCATTCTCGGTATCAATTTGCATTAGCGGACTGTTCCTCAAATTAATATCATTTCCTTTTGTTTGGAAAAGAGAGACACTGGCAGCGGTACACTCTACCCATGATTATGGGTTTTGGTCAAATTCCATAATCACAAAAAAATATTTTCTATTTATTCTTACCACTTTCCGAGACCCGGACCCGAATTTGTAGTTTTACTTGTACTAAAAGCTAATCATAAGCGAACAAATCGAGGACAATCAAACTCATAACTGGAAAAACTGTATCTTCTGGTGTGATGAATTCAATCAGATATTAGGTCCGGGATCATGTTCAAATAATCAGTTTTGCTGTTTTTTCTCTAGAGATTTTTTCATATGAACAGGGTTTCGACTTATTTACCTATTTCAAATGTATTTCATTTCGCCTTCTCTTTCAAATTCAGGTGAACGATGTAGCGCTCTCAGCTGTCGCTTGGCCTGGGTTAAAGAGTTTAAAATGATTGAGTAGGCGAAAGGTCATGTTTTCTGGCGGTCCAGCAGATTAGCTTTAACTTAAAATTAAATTTACATTTGGTGTTCATAAATTAAACACCGCGCCGAAGGAAACGAAATAATATGAGACAGCTTGACGTTTCATTGGCTAAACTGTTGAAGTCAACAATGATAAAAATAACAACAAGACCATGAAAAACAACAACATAAAGCTGCTCATAAGATAGGTCTTCAGACATGACAGACACACAATAGAATGTCGCAGACATTTAGATGGTAACGTTGTCGAATGAAACTGGCCCCTGCAAGCTCGGGAGGCGATGCCATTTGTTTCGAAACATTGATTGCACTGAGTCAGCCATTATTCAATCTTTCAATGTAGCTACCTATACCATTCACAGGAACAGCAGTCATCAATACTAGTCAAACTCCAAGATTCAAGGTGTCACGTGTCAAACAGTACCGCTCATAAGGAAGTCAGGTTTGCTGCAGAAGTCATTAGCCTATGTCATTCGACAACTTTATAGTTACCTTACGAGACATATTTATATGGTACGAAATTTGGGGATTTTTGGAAAAAATGGGAAAAAATCCTCATATTTTCGTACTGAATTTCTAAAATTTCGTACTGAATTACTGTATTTCTGAAAAAAATCCCCATATTTTCGTTCCCCCATAATTTCGATCCCCGCTAATTATGATCCACATAAATATGTCTTGTAAGGTATACAGTATGTTAAATATTAAAATCGACGCAAAAGTTGTGAATCTCGGATACTATATTAGAAATTGAGCGTTTGCCGTTTATCTTTCTATGCTTTTGCTGTGGTTACAGTATTACAACCAAATAAAATTGTATTTACCCATGTGCAAAAACACTAAATGACTAAAAACAATTTAACAAGAGCATCGTACATTTATAGCACAATGAATTCTAAAAGATTACAAATAAATTGATGATACGGACAAAGAATCATTAAAATTAGAAATACATGAAATATCATTATCATCTCATTTTATTAAGAAGCATTTATCTTTTTGAAATACTGTAAGTAATGTTTAAAACATTTGAACTTTCAAATAATTAAAACGTTGTTGGATCACATGTCAGATTGTAATTTACGATTAACGCGAATTATTGGTGCTAGTATTATCTGATGGTGAAAATTCCAGCTGTAATCGACCAGTATCTCGATTCTCTACACACACAAATATTGACATAAGCAAGAAACTTCTATTAATATTACTTAACTTCGTTATTATAGACTATTTAAAGACTATTATTAAAGACTATTTCCAAATTCCAGCAGTCGCGATTGTACCAACTGTACACATATATAGAATCTCAAAATAAGTTTACCAGAACTTAGTTTTAAACAACATTAAAAAGCATTTAACTTATGATAATTGATCAACGAAATCTAGATTAGATTCTATCGTCCATAAATCTAGTCATGTTCAATTTTAAAATCAACCAGTACTACCATTATCTTTTCCGACCTCTAACATACCTAATAATGATAATACATAATAAAACCAACGTCAAAACGTCTCTATTTGGCCTTTTCCATCGACGCCAAACGTTTGAAATAGTCAGTGTTAGCCTCTAAACACTCCAAAATGTGAGCCATAGGTGTAGGAACCACCCTCAACGTCTCAACTGCACTGTTCATCTTGTTCTTCATGTTCCGGGTACGCAGGGAAGCATGGATAAACGATACTGAAATAGATAATTTCAAAATTTAAGAAAGAAGATCTACACTTATTCTGCCAGTGCTGATGATACTCGTGACCAAGGCTTTGACCACGATACTCGTGACCAAGGCTTTGACCACTTGCTTCATCTAAAATCTCTACTCTGAAAACATAGTGTTTATCTTTAAAAAGATTTTTAAAACTAACGTAGAATGGGGATGAAGATGGAGCAAACAGTGTACATAACGGCCGGGGTGTGTCCCATCAAACCAGCCAGCAGTCCGATACCTGGGAGGAAATAGTCTTAATATATAATAGAAAATAGTCTTAATAACCCAAATAATATTTAAATATACAGGGGGAGTATATATATAAGCTACTCAGCGAGATTGTGTAATAGTTGAAATATAGTTGTCGTTAAGGCGTGGGCGAGGAAAAGTTTGAATTTACATTTAGATGCAAAATCAATCGATTTATTTGTAATTGTATCTATGGATGAGATTGCAAAGAATAAGAATATGAAAAGAAATGTACGTACCTGCAGCAGGCATAAGCCCGTATCTTGTTTTCAAGGTTAGAGCTCCCAATATCAGAGTTATGATAAACATTCCTGTCAGATATCTCGCCATGTTCACGGCACTGCAGAAATTTACAATTTAGTGAACATATAGTGACAATTAAGTGATACTTAAGTGACAATTTAGTAACAATTTAGTGACAATTTAGTGACAATTTAGTAACAATTTAGTGACAATTTAGTAACAATTTAGTAACAATTTAGTAACAATTTAGTGACAATTTAGTGACAATTTAGTGACAATTTAGTAACAATTTAGTAACAATTTAGTAACAATTTAGTAACAATTTAGTAACAATTTAGCAACAATTTAGTAACAATTTAGTAACAATTTAGTAACAATTTAGTAACAATTTAGTAATAATTTAATGACGAATATGTGATAATATAAGATGCATTTATTATCATAAACCAGTGAAAAATATGAATATATGAGTCACCACTGCACTATTATATCAGGTATCCCTAGAAGTATGGTTTGCAGAAAAATACCTTCAGTCTCATACAGTGAAAATATCTTCAGTCTCATGCAGTGAAAATACTGGTTTTATTAAACAAAAGCCATAATATCACGTTTGAGAGGAGCAGGTACGTGCCACGTTCATAAAATAAAATTTAAAAAAGCATTAAACGCGAGTTGGTGGCTATTGTTGGCAAAATTTTAATAGCGTTTCGTCATGATCACTGCAAAGTGCAATTGATTTTTGCAATAGATACAAAACATTTCATAAGAAAACTTGTGAGCTGATATTTTATTTAATGAAAAGCTGTATGTCCAGAATGATATTTTAAATCTGGAATAGCCTTTAAAACGGCACGGTTTCTGTCCAGGGTCCGTATTAGGCATTTTCTTCGGCAGGTCTGTGATCCACCTTTAAAGCGCGTATCTTTTTCACCAACACAACAACCAACACACCCAAAAAACCGATGAGAATGGCTTCTCCAGCCATACAGCAAACAAATATCGTGATCAGCGGAGGGTTCTGACTTGGCTTTGCATCGGGTTTGTCACACTTCAGTCCACGCTTCTTTTCATTTTGACACGTGATCTTCAAAGCAGGATGGAAGTCAAATTCTTTGAAGCCATAACCAGGTTTGCAACTTACTGAGATGTTGCTGCCCGGTAAGTAGAAAGGTAATTTACCTTCAACCTGGCCGTTAGGGATCTTGATCTTGTTCCTTTGACACAGGGCAAGGTGCTCCGCAGGGAGGAGGAATCTCAGAGTGTTTAGGTAGTGCACACTGTTAGAAGACAGCAAGGTGATGTACGTTTTATTACTCTTTATTGAGAAGAAGCATTTGTTGTCGTTTTCTGTTGAATCTGTCCTGCTTGTTAAGCTATAAAATGTCCCACTGGCTATTTCAAAGAGTTGATCTTCGTTATCATCTTGACAAGCAGCTACAGAATCCACAACAATACCGTTATCCACAGTTGTACTGTCTTTACGTACTTCCAGGCATTTGCCCAGAGAGTTTGATTGGATTAGTTTCATTTTAGTCTCATTTTCATTTCCGGTTCTGTTGGTGTTTTTCTTTAACGTCCACGTTATACCATCTGTGCAATCAATCCACTTTATCTCCATCGACCTCCCGAATCCTAAACACTGGCGACTGTGAACGTCTTGGATTAAAACCCCCCCTAAATCCTCACTTGTTTTTAGAGTGTTTTCAATTGTTCTACACGGGACCGAAGGACTTCTTTCATAATTCATTAAGCATTCGATATCTCCGATGACATCGAAAGAGCAATTTTTCGCATCAAATGATGGTTCCATCAAAAATGGAAAGTTGTTGTAAAGGCTGCAAGTTGATGATTGAAATTCGACAGTAAACGATTTGCAACTTTTGTGGTACCAACAGTACATCTTGCAAGAATCTATGCTTTCAGCAGAGAAACTTGCAACAACTGGACCAATGATGTAGTTTCGAGATTCACGAGAGGTGCAGAAGTAGTAACATTGATCCGAAATTGGTGTTGTGTTCATAAAGATGAAAGATTTGGAGTCTCCAGCTTCCACAGGGTTAGGGATTCTGTTTTGGGGTTTGAACGACTCTCCAGACACGATAAGAACCATCACAACAACTGCTAACAACATCTCCTCCACTCCGTGGACTTAGCTGCGTATTTTTTTACCGGTTACATCTTTGAAAAATTTTTAGTCTACCGATTTTATTAAAAATTTAATGTTCAATCACCAGCTGCCATCTTTTGAGGTTGAGGCCAACGATTAACAGGTTTGTTGACTAAATCACCAGGTATAAAGAGTTGAAAATGTTTAGATACGAAAAATACACTGTTCCTAAATCAACTAACTCTATTTGGTACACGCGGTACTCTAGTTCGTTAGTCATTACATTCATTAAATTCATGGCCTGCAAATTGTAATACCACATGATCTGTTCATGACGTGAACCGTTGAATCTCAAGCAGAAAATGCAAATGGAGGGAACATATTTGTCGAACTAAAGTACGCTACCTGGAATCTAGTTCGACACAATGTTCAACAGGGGTGATTTCTGGAGAACTCTAGTTGTCGAACGAGAGCCAGTTATCAGCCGTATTTCCTGGTTAAATGTGACGTGTACGTTACCCAGCCATACAAGGCATGATTCTCATGTTTACAGTGGGATTTACTGATACAAATGGAGATGCAAGAATGGCTTCAAATTTAAAAGACCACCTTAAATGAGGACAATGCCCCTTTTAACATATTAAACCTATTAAAGCAGATGTGACAATATCAACGGATCAAAAACTTTGCAGGACCTTGTTAAACACCGGAAAAGTTTTGTGCTGAAGGAACGCAAAATTAATTTCCCCGAATATTTGGGCCGGAAACCGAAAGGAAAATAATGAACAACTCCGGAAATTTCAAATTACACATTTTATATTTTTGGGCCCAACTGTGTACAAAATTTAAAATAGATATAAATTTTTGGAAATTTCTAAATTTTGGTGAAATTTACAAATTGAAATTAAAAGGGTGAGATCAAATTCAAAAAAGAAATGTTCCAAAAGGGTATAGTACCAGTAACCCCGGGTACCTTAAAGGCCATAAGGGGCCCCATTTTTCAAGAAAAAATAACGGCAATTTTAATTTATATAAATTTTTACTCCCTAATTTGAAACATAATAACGTAACAAAGGTCACCGACTTAACGAAAATCAAAATAAATATACTTAATTCCCAAAAATGGGAAACCCCGATTGAGCGGGTTCCCCAAATTTTTTGCAGAGCAAATTTCATAAATTTTTTCCGCGTGTTTAAATTTTTTTGCAACCACACTTTTGGGGCATTGGGCCTTGTGCTAAATTTTGAAAATGCTTTTTCTTCAAATCCAAATGTAATATTATAATTTATTCAACGGGCATTTTTTGCCAATAAGGATTAGTCGCAAAAACGGGAAATATAAATTTTAATAATAACGGAAAGTAAATACTAAGAATTTGTAAATTGTTCATTTTTCCAAAATTTTCCCAAAGGTTCAAATTGGGGCCCAAATTTTGTGGGCCAAAAAATTTTCTTTTTTAATCACACTAATTTGTTTACATAATTTTAAAAACTCGGGTTGAATTGTCTCGGGAAGCAAAGGGTTTTCCCAAAAAAGTAACCTTATAATTGACCAAAAAACCCCTGGTCGAAAAATTTGTAAAAAAGATTTGTTCAAAGTATTTTTGAAAATACTTGATTGGACCACAACCCAAAATTTTTTCTTTTTCCCCCACTAAAGAACAAATCTGGATGGATTTCCGTAATGGTCCGAAACCCTTAAAACCCGGGGCGGGACTCCGATTAAAAAAACTTGAGAACCCACAAAATTTTTCTTAAATTTTTTCAGTTCAAACCAGCTTTTTAGTTAGGCCCGTATTAAACCGAAAAATAATTCTTTTTTCAACCGTAGACCCCAAAAAATTCTGGAACTCGATTTCCCCCTGGTTATATAATGATTTGGAAGGAACCCCCCTTTAAAAACTGGGGGTTCCAAATGGGACCTGAAAGAAAAATACAACCAAAATTTTTATGGGGTTTTTTTCCACCTTTTTTTACATATTTTTCTTATAAGAAAATTTTAATTTTTTGTTTTTTTTTTAAAAAAAAATGAAACCCAAACCCGGAAAAATTTTTTCCAACCCGGGAGAACCATTTAAATATCCGGCGGATCCTAAATTCAAGGATCCTCGGTCCAAATTTAAACTTAAAAAAATTTTTTAAGTAAAACATACCTAAGATTTAATTTTTTATTTAATATAACAAAAAGTGAAAACTAAAATTAATTACATTATTTTTTTTTCACCCTTGAAAGCTCTACACCAACTTAAAAATTTTTGGAAAAAGAAAAAATGCTGAAAGTATTCAGTTTAGACTGGCCAAAGGAGTGAAAATTTTGCGGTGAATCCATAAACAGCAGCCTCCTGGGGTACCATACCCTTTATTTAAAAGAATTAGGGGAGTTTAATTTGTCCAAGACAAAAAAACCGCAATTAAAACTTGATATGTTTGATTATTTTTATTTTCCCTTAAATACTTTAATCACAATGTGTAAAAATGATCTCATTTCTAATCCATAAAAACCAAGAATAACCAAATTTTTAAAAATCCGAGGATTTGAATGTACAGGAAGTAAATTTGGTTGGCCATAATCCCAAAATTGAAAAAAGTCCATAAATAATGCCAAAAAAACCTTTTCATTTGTTTAAATTTTGATTTTGGTCCATAGTTTAATTTAGAATGTGAACGGCCCCCCCAAATTTCTAATACTTTTCAGTAAAGAAGACGGTGGTTTGAAAATTTTCCCCCAAAAGAGGGGTGATTGACCGGAAGGTTCTTTTTTGAACCTAATGAAACCTCTGGGGGTTTCAATTCGGGTTTCTCAACTTTTTGGGAAGTGATGGTTTTGAGTAACTTTGCAAGGGAAGGAAAAGAGGGTCTGCGGGGGCTTTTGGTCCAAATCCCATCCTCTTTCTTTTATTTTTGAAAGAAGGAATAAACAATATTACTTTGGTTTTTCAATTTGTGGGAGAAGGGGGAAACCCACAATATTAATGGGTTAAAATCCCCCAAACCTCTTTTTTATTTTTTCTCCCATGAAAAATTTAAAAGTAAAGGTAAAATTTTGGTTAAAAAATTTTTCGAAATGTTAAAGTTTTACCCTATGAGATATTTTTTGTTTTGGGGGTTTTATAAACCATTTTTTAAATGGGCTCCGTGAACGTGGAATAAGTAGTAGATTGTTCCGCTCACATGCATCCCTTGATTGGTTGCAATTGTTCAATCAGGCATACCTAAGCAAACAATTCCCAAACACAAAACACATTAAAATGGTAACAGATATATACATATATATCGTCTCGCTTTATATATATAGTAAGATGGTAAAAACACATAAAATTCAGAAAACAAAACTATACCTACAAACCTATAAAAGACGATGATTAGGATGAAGATGACGAAGTAGTTTGTTTGATAATAGAGCAGGTTCTGTTTGACCCTGTTGTACCACCTCCCACTCTCGCTGACTGCAGGGGAGGTAAATGTGGCGTCCGTCACAAAGTCTGCTATGGTCCGGAACGGAGCCACTTCTACACGCGGTCCCTCCATTGCTAGCAGGAATTTTCAATGTTAATATATGCAGAAATAGTAAACAAATTCAAGATTATGTAATGAAACTGAGTCTAAAATGGGGTGAAAGTTAAGATATCTGAAGAACCCCAACTTTAACGACAATGTTGCAAGTTCGAGTGAGAAAGTTCACTGACAGTCCGATGAGAATACATTGCAATTGTCAACACTCTCTAACCAGTGAGACAAAACGGTGAAAATGTAACGCAAAGTTTGTGAGTTCTGTACATATGTATATTATATAACATCAAATAGAAGGGTAACAAATCTGAAAGTACGAATATATGTTATAAAATTTGCACTGGAAACTAGTATATTATACATTTACTTTATACAATAACTTATGAGTAACGTCTCAGCATGATTGATTACTATAATTTAAACTTAATATTTGTGTAAACTGTACAAAATACTCTGACTCAAAATATACGAATTAGGGTAAAAAACTCTGTTGGAAAAACCTCAATAAAAACTTAACAAAATCTCAAAAAATTACTATCGATCTTACATTGATATCTACTACGACTGAATTCTACCAATTTGATTTGGAATTTAACCGATAAATCATCACAAACTAAGAAATCGATTGTTAACTAAAACTATTGGGTTGTACACGACTTGCTCAGGTAAGGTACAGAAAGATAACATGATTTACTCTTTTGGATGGAAGATTACATATTTTGATGCAGAGTGGTAAATTGTTCACTCTCTGATGATAACTCTTTGTATTTGAACTCGTTGTTACTCTTTGTATATTACTCTCTGACAGAAGTGAGTCGTCCCGTCTTATTGCTAGCTTGCACTTTCGTTTCTTTACCTGTGGACGATGCTCTGGAATGAGCAAATCAGTCTCCCAATAAAAATCAGTCTCCTAATTACACTAATCAGTGTCTTAATAGTAATACTAATCAGTCTCACAATACAACAGAGAAATGCGGTATAAAATATCGTGGAGTACGTGATCGTCCAACACGCTTATTATAAATTCGGATAGTATTTTTGCAGATTTTCTGGCTGATAAGGAGCGGAAGTGAGTTGGAAGTACTCACCTAGTGGCTTCTCCCACTCTGATTATAGAGATAACGTCTATAATCCACTGATAGAGCAGATATGTGGGCATGCTTCCGCCCTTCTTCACCTCTGTTGCTGTCAGACCTGAAGTAATTAGTTAGATTGGGGTTGTGGTGACGAAGCTTGAAATTAAGTAAATATTTGGAGATCAGTGAACTGTCGGTCTATGCTGATTTCTGATAACTGAGATAAGTATAATTTAATCTCTTACCTTTGAGTCGGTCATTTGCTTTATGGATGTCAACTTTTACGTCTTTGCCAAGAGGATCGAATTGAGCCAGTCTCTTCAATAGCTCACTGTTCAAATGCTGAAATAATAAAAAATAAGTTTGCACTTTGCGCGTACTTATAAAATTTGTAAGTATGGGGCTCCACGTCCGTAATTAGATTGGCGGGTTTGGGAGACTGCAGCAGCATGCATCATGTTTATATAAGAATATGTGTGAAGTCACCCAAATAAGTGACTCAACTCACGCCAAGGTAAACACTTTTTGTATGTACTTTTTTTTGCAGTTTGTATGATGATCGTAAAAAATTTAAAATATGAGTTATTTTCATTTATTCATTTATTTTGTCCCCGTTTGTTTGTCCCCACGAGTTTGAACACTGGGACCTACTGCGGACGCCGCGAAAATGAACTGGGTATATGGCTGGGTGGATATGAATTATGATTGGTTGAGTTAAAATTGACCTAAAGTTCTAATTATAGACATTACTACTAATTTATATTTTAAAATGGTATAATACTTATTAGATTTTGACTTGCGTTATACTTTCAGCAATACTCATACTAATGCACTTAATAGTTTAAGACGCTGTAAATTATTTCATGATTTGTGATTAATATAATACATAAATTAGGCAGACGTAATTGTTTATCTGTTGCAAGCTCTATGCCATGATTGGTTATATTCAATGGATGTTGATAACAGTGATGGGGTATATCTAAACCGCCGCTCGCGCTGCAGGTAGGTACATCACTGACGTGCTTTAAGCTGGCTTTTCCTTTTATGATTGTAAAATGTAAGATCTCTAACCTCTAAGAACGAAACTTCCGGCGTAAATAATGTATCTGGACATCTATTGTTACGAACGGAAATTTGTTTACTCACCAGAACGGGCATGTTTATAGCCAGATACTGAATACTCATTATACAGGGTATAGACCATCAGTATGACACCGTAACATTTCATAGTTATCTTGGTTAGTATTGCTGGGTAACAAATGCACACGTTGTCATATTATAAATCTAGCGTAACCACTAAACCACTTATACCCTAGCCTACAATAGAGTTCCTGTTATTCAGGTAGTATAATTCATGTCTATTACATTTAAAAGTTTGCCGAATTTGCCTAATCGTTAATGGGTAACGGTAATGGTAATCTAGTAAAAGAGCAAGAAGTAGGCTAAGCAGCTCTGATACATTGAGGGTATTATACTTGTGCATTACGAGCATTGTGACAAATTTAAGCCGCCATCGTCCCACACAGCAGCTTCTTGGACACCTTACCATGGTGCTTTGTTATGCAGGACAGTTACAGCTCCTGGTTGAACTCACTTCTGGGACAACCTGATCGCTCTACACTCTTGAGGGTGTGAGATTTGACATATTCTACAATTAAGCGTCTAGTTAAGCCATTTGCTTCGTTGTAGAGTACAATGGTATGAAGGTAAGATAGCCGGATCTGAGGCTGTTATAGTGAGCACTGTCCATTATGAACCGTGAGCCCAGGGACTGTATATCAGCCTGGCTAATACTACTAATTGTACGTCGATGCTACTTTAATACATCGATATATAGCTTAGCGTATATTATACGTGACAATTCATAAGGTATTAATCAGAATCTGGTTTTTGTATGCTTGATCCACGGCGCGGACCACGGGGTACTTATATTAGAATTTAGTCAATGCTGACCATCCTTGACCATGCCCCTTTTCTAATTTCGGCCTACTTAATTTAACTACCTTTAAAACGATTTTTTACTTTGACATTTAAAAAATTTTAAAGGGGTTTAGGATTCGGTGATTTAAGTAACCCGGGTTAGCCCCTAGATCTTAACCCGTTCAATTAAATTTTGAAAAAAGCACAATTTAAAAAAGGGGTTTTAATAATGTGAAAAATTGTATTCGTTTAAATTATGAAAGAAGGGGATAACTTAATTTTTAAGTTAAAATATACCTGCAGTCTTTTAAATACCAGCAGTTGTTAAATTTTCAATATTCCATAACCAAAAAAAGATAAGATTAAAATAAGTTTAAAAAAGCGAGATTTTTTTAAAACTAATCAATAGAATTCCTGTGGTTTAAATTACCTTTAAACGGTTATAGTAATTCCTTTTTAAAGCATGTTTTAAATCCAAAAATATTGTTAAAGGGAAAATAATTTAAAATTTTAATGAACTGACCCGAGAACCTTACCCCAAAAATTCTTTTCGGTTTTTTCTCCCAGTCCCTTTTTTCCCCCCTTACATTGCCGTGGCTCTTTTCACATTTTCGAAACTTTTTTGGGTATTATACTTACTAAATGGTTGTCCTCGGGGAAACTTATTAAAGAATTTCCTTTGGTTTAATAATCCCGACTCATTCTTTTGTCCCTTTAAATTTTGGCCAATTGTTCGGCTCCCGCCGTTTTTCCCCCTTCCTTTTTTGGCACGTATTAAAAAAAATAGTGTTTTGGATTCCTTTTATTTTTTATTATGAAAGAACTTTAAAATTTTATTTTATCCTATGCCTACGACATATGTCCCTTTTAAAAGCCATGTTGATAACAAGACCCTTATTTTTTGGTTTTTTTCCGCTCCAAAATTAAGGTTTTTTTTTAAACCCCTTCTTAGTGACATAATTTAAAAACAGTAAAATCGCTGTAATCCATATTTAATTTTAAATATAAATGTATTGGAGAAGCCTTCGCCCTCAAAATTTAAGTTTTTTTTCAAATCAGTTTCATTTCATGATTTCGACTGATTTTTTCCCGTTTAAAAGACCCAAAAAAGAACTTTTAATTGCGCAATTAAATAAAATTACCCAAAAAAATTAAATTCCCCAAATTATCCTTTGTTCTAATTAAAAAACGGAAAGTTTTTAAATGTGGACCTTGTTTTGGGAAACATTGAGAAATTTTAAATTTGTTTTTAAAAAATTAAAAACATTCCTTGAAAAGCTTCCTTAATCCCTTAATAACTTTCTAAAACGACGGAGTTACCAAAATTTTTTGTTATTTTTTCTTTATTGGAAAAGGAAAGAAAGGAATTCCATTTTGCCTGAATTTATTTTGACATTATTTAAAAAATTTCGAAAATTAATTTTTTTAAATAAAAATGAAAGTTTTAGCTTGGATTTGTTTGATTATATGACGATAATAATTGAAAATAAACGATATGGGTTTTAAAAAAACATAAAGGGATTTTGGAAAACTTTTATATAAATAAATTTTTATTCCCCCCCCCCCCCCCCATTTAACCCCCCCATAAAATTTTTCATAATGTTTTAATTGTACATATCAATAAAATTTTGGAACCAAAAAAAATCTTTTGGGTTTTGGTCTTTGGGTTTTTTAAACGATTGTATAATTCAAATTTTTATTTTTTTTTACGTTCTTTTTTTTGAAAATGTGTTTAATTTTATTTATAAACCAAGTTATAAATTTTGTTAAAAATTAAATTAAAAATTTAATTCCCTTAAAGAATTTAAACGTCTCTTTAAATATCGACCTTGTTTTGGGTCATGGAATAAGAAATATTATTATAGTTAGGGACAATTAAAAGTCCAATGTTTTTAAGTATTATACGTTAAAATAATTCATGAACGATTTGAATTCAACAAAAAAAGAACAAATTAACTTTCCTACTAGCAGGATGTGGTTTTGAACCTGGGTACAAAAATTCGAAATCCCCTTTTTCCCCCAAATATGTTTATTAGGATTCTACTTGTTGCTTTCCTTCACATTCTTTTTTCCCTAACTTATGTTAATGAAACATTTCTGTTCAACCATATAATAAGTAATTATTTTGAAGTGTCAACGGCCCCTTTTTGGGCCCTTTTTTGGCCTGATAAACAGGTTGTTTAAATTTTTGTCTTGTCAAGGGTTTTGCGAGTAAGTTTTTTCCATATTGTTTTTCCGTTCATCTATACCAAATTATACGCTTAAAGGAAATTAACGGCCAATTGTAATTTATGGGTTTCTTCACTGCAATGGGGAACCATGGGGGAAAATTATTCGCCCCACACCTTAAACCCCAATAAGATGTACCCAGTGGAACTCCCTGTTCCTTTTGGAATTGGAAAACCCCTCATTTCCCTACTTTAAAAAAAAATGTTTTTAACGTTTTACCGTTCATATGTTATAATGAACATCAATTCCCTTTTTGAATCCTTCTCGTACAGTAACCCGTCTTTGGTCGAAAAAAGGGCTTTACGGGTCTTTGGTTTTCCCAAAATTGATTGCTTTCCGACAAAATTCCTTTTTGGCCTGAATTTCAAAACAATCTTATCTCCCACCTTAAGAAAAATTTTAAACCAAAAAGTTAGGTTTACTATTCCTCTGCCAATTCTATTCCAAAACGGATTGACATTTTTACGTGAAAAAGTGTAAAATCGTTTCAAAAACAAAGGAATAATATATAAGCTGGGAGGGAACCCCCTCTTTTCCACATGTTAGTTTTCCTAAACTCCAATATCACTTTCTGACTTGTTTTTTTCGGGGTTTCAAAAAACCCAGAAGGCACGAGTGAATTTGCTCGCTGTTAATTTGCTTAACGGAACATAACCTCCCCATGATCCTATTGTTTAATAATAGAAAAGGGGTTTTAGTTACGTGCTTCCGGGTTTTTAAAACCTTTATAATTAAACATAACCATATTGTCTGTTTAAAAAAGACTAAAACTTCCCCTTTTTAAAAAAAACAGGCTTAAAATTTCTATAACCCCTTTACTATAAAACTTCAAGACAAAATAAATCAATATGACTCATCAATAAAAATGGCACCTATCTACCCGCGTCCAGCTAAAACCAACATCCTTGGAATTTGAAAAGGTTATCTTAATGTTATCCCTTTTTATTTGGAAACCTTACGTTCCTGTAGAAATTAAAATGTTGGCTACATTTATTTCCACATTATGAAATACATTTTTTAATTATTAATTTAAAAAGGTAAAATAAAGGAAACTTTAAAAATATTAACTTTTTTGGGGATGATTTATAAAGAGTAAAGGAAATTTTTTAGTTTAAAAAGGTTCTAAAAAAGCCTCCACGCCAATGTTTTTTAACAAACAAGGTTACAATCCTAACTTATTACAAACCGCATTTAAGTGTTAACAGCCAAATCCAAAAAAATTTATAATTAAATTTCAAACTTAAATGGGAGTTTTCACCGGTTAAAAAACGGCCCAAAAAATTCCAAGGAAGAAACACCTAAAAGGAAAGTTCTTACTTTTTGATTTTTTGGGCATTTGGAACTCTCTTTCTCTAACTTTAACAAAGAAAGGGTTCCATGCTTAGGGGGGCCGGTAATTTTATTTCAACAAGTCTTTGGGGTTCCTTTGGTATTACAAAATATTTCAAGCAATTCCTACGAAATTATTTTGGCAGTTAAAAGGCGGGGTGAAAAATTGCTTGCCACCCCTTTTTGGCAAATAGAAATTCACCTTTGACCCTTCGAAAATGTAATTTCATGGAAATTTGTGGACAAAATCTTTAACCCCCATCCATTTGGATTCCCTTTAGACCTAGATATTCCCCTAAACCTTAGAGCTCTCAAAACACCCGGTGAGCCTCCCACTGAGGAATATTGGAATTTTGAACCCAAACTACTTAGGGTTTGAGTTAAAAAACAAACAAATTCTTTAAAAAGGAATCAGGATCAAATGCTACAAAAAATTATAAGGGAAAAAACGATATGACAGAAAAAGCCTGGTGTCTAAACCCCGTTTCCCTACGATTTACCCCAACCCGTTAAACCCGGCACTCCTTTCCCCAAAATGGTAACAACACCGATTTACCGCGAACCCCGATTTACCGCGGATGTTTCCTTACCCCCAAACTCTGCGGTAAATCGGGGTTTTACTGTATCACGAAAATATGGCCTTCCTCACCAGAGTTATACTTCTTTTCATCACTCTCGACCTCCTCTAGAAGCTGTCCAAATACCAACACCAACTTGTTAAACAAGTTCCTCACTGACTTGATCTGGAATATTACTTGTTTTAATTTAGTTGATCACATTTAAAAGTGAAACATTGTATTGTTTTTGTATATAAGAGCTTTAGCCACAGGTAGGGTGGTCTGCAGGGAGCCCCACAGTTTCAATTCCTTGTTTAACTAGCCGTACATCAAGGATATCCACTGTGCTCACCAGGTTAGGCACATAACCAACACTACCCTGCATTTACGAGTAGCTCATCTCTGGTGGGTGTTGTTTGTTATTGAAAAAATCTGATAGCACTAAGTGCTATACATTTCTTATGAAGTATAATTTATACATATTTTATTTACCTGAGCAGCCTTGAGTATGTGGCTCTTATCCTTGCCAGTATCAAGATCTATCACGAAGATAGGGACGCCCTGTTTGTCATCCACGCGCATAGCTAGATGGTCGGTACCATACGCCCTGTTCTGTATATTCTCCTTCTTCTCCAAACAGTTGAACAGGTAGTCCCTGGTTTAGGGGATGATGGAGTTAAGTTTAGATTATAATGTTGTGGGCTAGAGTCTGCCACAGTGCTGAGTGCAAAGTTGTATGGTGTTTCAGAAGCAAACTACTTTGCTGTAATGTTGTTGGTGCAGCTGGCACTTTGATAAGTATATGTTGTGAGTAGTGATACATTTCAGCTTAAAATGTGCAATAAGAGGGTAATAAAAACATTGACAGAAAATGAAAGTATAGTCAGTTAGAAATAAGAATAACCAAGAATGTGCTCAGATTTTCAGCTTTCTAAGTTTTACAAATTTCTCGCACAATTAGAATTGGGAGAATACTAGAAGTCAAAAGATAGCAAGAAACAAGAATAGCAAAAGGAGAACGGTAAAAAGGATTATTGGATTAAGGATTATTGCAAAGGGATCTTGTTAAAAGAGGCAGATAGAGGCATCAGCTTACAAGGATGGTTTTAGCAGACAAAAAGTTCTAAAACCATCCATTTGTCTACTGGAAATATGCTTTCACGACACGATACAGAAATATCAACTTTTCAGCTCGAGAAAAAGGCAATCAAATACAAAACAACATCAATATAACATGTGACACAATATCACCAGTATCCACAAACCACAATAGAATAGATTTAACTTTAGAAGTTAAGATCATTGTATTAATTGAGAAAATTGAAAGGGTGCTTAAAATAATGCATGTTGCTGCTACAGTAAAATGAGTTTTCAAATTTGGCTTCAAATTTAGAAAGATTGAATATCACGCAGAAGTTACCTTCAAAAAGGTTCACACTAGGATTGACAATTAATTCCTTTCTATTTCTCAAATTGAGAGGAATTGAATATTTATTATATGAAAATAAATCCTAGAGGCTAGACCACGGTCAACATGCTTTAACAGCATGACAATACGACATGCTATTGGAAATTTGGGATGAATTCTAACATCACTTGAACACAATATGGTGTCGTAACAAGAAATGCGGCCGCTTTTCTTTTGTGGATGGCCGCTCAATTTCCCGATCCGTGATGGTGTATTTATCATATTCCATACAACCTGGGGACGGCCCAGTCTTTACTGTTTATATAAACATGCAAATATGGCGAAGTGACATGCCGACTGACGAGCGCCGCCCAGTTAATATAATTCTATATTGAATTTGAAAATCGTGTATACTTCTATGTAACCATATGTTTATTGTTTATGCAACCTGACACGGCTCTGTGCAAAATAGTAATACTAACTCAAAATAATAATAATATGCTATCAATTAGTGCCTAGTGGGATACGTACATGATGAAATTAATAATGTACTTGGTTGGTTCAGCGCCGCGCGCCAACAATTATATAATTCAGATTACCACGCAAAATAACTTTGCGCAGGTAGTCACGTGGGCGATAACAGTGCTCGCAGGCACGTACGGTCGCACGCACGCACGCTCGCAGGCACGGTCGCAAAGCTACCATATACAAAAAAAACCTCGATCGCTAACCCTTGTCCTTGACTCTTTTGTGCCTTCGGCACGAGTCATGGATCGGGAAAAAATGCTTTAGGTCGTGCAAAAATTCGATTTCCGCAGAAAACAGAAACATGCCCCACTGGATTTGACCAACGAATTTTACCTGCAACATGACCGGGAAAAGGAACCTTAGATTTGGGTATCTATAACTGGAAAGTGTCACCAGGACTGAGTCCAGAGGACTACCAGACAAACTTACTTTGTTTATAATTTTGCTTCTACAGTCAGGCAATATGCATAATTTGTTAATTGACTATATTGTGCGTTTCAGAATCTGAAAATGGGCGTCAATTGTTGAAAATAGGATATAATAGGGTAAGGAAAAAAGAAAATGTTTAAGTTGATAAGATTCAGAATTAAGAAAAAAAGGAAGTGTTTAAGTTAATAAGATTAAGAATTATTCGTATAATTTTTATGAAAAGATAAACAGAATATTGAAAGGTAAATATGAATGATGCTTAATGAAAGAGAAGTGCTCTATGGTACATCATAGTACGAGGCTTATGGATGTTTTTAAGTAAAGCATTATTAATGGTTAGTGCTTACGTATGTAATAAAAGTAATAGTGATGGAACCAAGCCATTTTGTCTCCTATGATGACCAAAAGTTATGTGCTGTTTTAAGACGAATAAAGGAGAGGATATAGCTGGCTCCAACCTGAGTGAGAAGTGCTGTACTGAATACTGAACCTAGTTCAGGATGAATCTTACCGCACGTGGTTATCCGGAGCAACACTTTTTACACTTTCATCAGAATCTGATTGAGGCTCGCAGCTGACAAAGAAAAATACACTAACAGGGTTTGATTGTGGCAGCGGACACAAAAAGGGTGAGAAGTTACAACTTTTAACTAACATTTTTAAAACTCACACTAAAACCCTTTTCGGAACAGCTTTTAGCAGCAATATATACTAAAGTTTTATTAAACTGACACCAAAACGTTTTTGAAACTACTATTAGCAGGGATGCAAACAGCATTTAAAACATCATTTAACAAACTTACAAAATTTCTCATCACTTACATTATGGACTATGTACAAGGCCACTATGGACTACAAGCCAGTGTAAGATAATATGATAAAGAAACTAAATCATCAAATTTGACAATTGGATAAGGTAAATGCAGAAGAATTAAAAGATTAAAGGACAAAAATGCATATTATTTGCGGAAGAGTCAATGAAAAGAAGAAAGCCTGTCATTTACACGATCGTATCTTGCCGTAATATCAGAACACTGTTCATTGAATCTTGCCTAAGTATCGAAAAATGTAGGATTATTTCGGCACTATCCGTCGCGGAGTCGAGTCCGCGGCGGAGCCGCCGGACTTCGAGCGGACTCCGGCGGAGCCGCCGGACTCCGAGCGGACTCCGGCGGTGCTCCGCCAAAATGTATTTACAGTGGACTCGAGTACATTTTGGCGGACTCCGAGCGGAGCCGAGCGGACTCCGAGCGGACTTTAAAGTCCGCCGCGGACTCCGAGCGGCTCCGCGGCGGCTCGGCGGAGTGTCCGCCGCGGACTAAGCCACTAGGCGGACTCCGGTCCGCCGCGGACTCCGGCAGAGTGCTTGGCGGACTCCGCCGGACCTCTCCGCCAGACTTGAATCCGGCGGAGTCCGGCGGAGCTTGGCGGAGTCCGCCAGCTCGGCGGACTCCGCTCGGAGTCCGCCGGACTCCAACAGAGTCCACTGACTTCCGACCCTCGGCTAAATTTGTCACGTGACATACAACATAGCATTTTGCAATATTGTGGTCAGATGAAAAGGTCGCTAGTGATAAACCTTAACCATTACCCTCACAATGTCAATAGTGTACAACTCTAGTCCTAACTTTGACCCTATAATGTATAAACGTTGACCCTAACCCTCCACCAAACCGTCCGCAGCGAAATATCAATGTCATTGACTGGTCAGCTAAATGAACGCGATGTGCCTTGCATTGTAGAATGAAACCCTACTAGCTGACGCCACTCGCAGCTGTGATGTTCGCTGTACGTCAGCGATCGAAATTTATACGCGTATCACCCGTTAAGATGTGCCACCCGACGCGCCACGCAATTTTTCTCGTTGCTCGTCGCACGTCGACGCCCTCATTAAATTTTTGGAGAAAATCGCTCGCCAAAATTTGTTGGACCAGGACGATGTTGTTGTTCGTCGACGTGCGACGAGCAACGAAAAAAATTGTGTGGCGCGTCGAGTGGCACATCTTAACGGGGGATACGCGTATAAATTTCGATCGCTGACGTACAGCGAGCAGCACAGCTGCGAATGGCGTCAGCTAGTAGGATTTCATCCTACAAGGCACATCGCGTTTACCTAGCTAACCAGGTCATTTCCGCGTCCGGCGGTCGCGCGCTACTGCAAGCGAGAGGGCTATAGTTTAACGGGTGATACTCTTAAAATATCTGTTCCATATATTGGACCGTCGACGAGTCCAACTCGGCGCGCGTCCTGGTAGGTTGTAAACCTACAAGCTATAGTTAGAGCAACACATCGCGCCACAAGCCAAATATTTATCAACATCTTGACTAGCTACGCGGTCCTTTTCCGCAATATGCGCTCGCGCTGTGCTCAAAAATTGACGTCGTCAATCAATCAACATCAAGATTTTAGTTTTACATTTGACCTTTATGTCAAAAAATCTTTGAATTTTCAATCGGTGGTCGATGTTACCTGAGGACCTCAGGCTTCGTCCTTACTTCGTCACAGGACGATCGGAGCTCGAAGAGCATAGAGAGTGCTGGCTGGCGTCGTCCTGTGATGGTCGACGTATTTTTGCTTGCTAAAAACGCTTCCCCATATGAGATAATATGACAAAAATTGTTTTGGTCACGTGACCAGTCAATGACATTGATATTTCGCTGCGGACGGTTTGGTGGAGGGTTAGTATAGGGTCAACGTTTATACATTATAGGGTCAAAGTTAGGACTAGAGTTGTACACTATTGACATTGTGAGGGTAATGGTTAAGGTTTATCACTAGCGACCTTTTCATCTGACCACAATATTGCAAAATGCTATGTTGTATGTCACGTGACAAATTTAGCCGAGGGTCGGAAGACGAAGGTCGGAAGTCAGTGGACTCTGTTGGGGTCCGGCGGACTCCGAGCGGAGTCCGCCGAGCTGGCGGACTCCGCCAAGCTCCGCCGGATTCAAGTCTGGCGGAGAGGTCCGGCGGAGTCCGCCAAGCACTCCGCCGGAGTCCGCGGCGGACCGGAGTCCGCCTAGTGGCTTAGTCCGCGGCGGACACTCCGCCGAGCCGCCGCGGAGCCGCTCGGAGTCCGCGGCGGACTTTAAAGTCCGCTCGGAGTCCGCTCGGCTCCGCTCGGAGTCCGCCAAAATGTACTCGAGTCCACTGTAAATACATTTTGGCGGAGCACCGCCGGAGTCCGCTCGGAGTCCGGCGGCTCCGCCGGAGTCCGCTCGGAGTCCGCCCGGAGTCCGGCGGCTCCGCCGCGGACTCGACTCCGCGACGGATAGTGCCATTATTTCAAGATAACAGACTGCCACTCTTGTCATATCTGTCTATTTTATCTTTATATATATATATGAAGAAAGATTAAAAATTTCCGAAGAGTTGCATGATCTTTATGAAGATGGCTTCATGAAAAGAGTTTCGCTTTTATGATGAAGTAAGTTTTCATGCAATTTAAAGAGCAAATCAAGTAAGTTGAAAAGTAAGTTGACTCAGACACGTTGCTGGCCTTACTGGGTAAATGAGTAAAAATGTAATTAACCGTCCTGAAATTATCATGAGCCTATAGTAGTTAAGTAGTACTAGGAAATGCCGCGTTTTCACTTTAAAGCACAGGAAACTGTCGATGAGTTGGTTAGATTTTCTTCAATGACGTTTAAAAACCATGCGGAAATAGGATGCATAAAACATTCCATGCACGATCAGGCGAGCTTGTAGTAGGAAACTTCCGTTTCGGCGTATAATATAAGAAACTCCTCGCTAAACAAGACTGCTGACGCACGCTGCATCACATTTTCAAATAAGTCATGCTCATAATGTCAATATACCAACTTTAAAACCCCATGCAGCACTGGATTTTCCCGCGACTGAAAAACTAGCATGCAAAATGCACGTGACTGTGAACACCTGGTGTGAACTCATGCCCGACAAGATAACCGATTATCTAGCTCCTTTACCTTTTCCCGTTCATGTTGGTGTTCTCAGGAGCCTCCTCCTCAATGTACCTAAAGGAGCTATCACTTTTTCTGATCGTCTCCCTGTTTACCCCCTGAGTCATCTCCACTATTCCCGTTTTGGGGTTGAGCGACATGGTGTGACGGAGTGCGAACTCTTCCGGAGCGTCCGGAGCGGACGGACCTGAGGGAACCTGGGACCAGAACAGTCAGGATGATGTGAGGTGACACATTAAATTTTAAAGCTAAAATTTTTGTTTTTATTTGTAAGCTTAAAGATAAGAACTTTTAGTGAGATAAAGGTCCTAAATAATCTGAGTGATCTCATGCTACAACTCACGTGAGGTAATGGCTCAACAACGTAACAAGAAACTGACAAAACAGCGGACTCTTTACGAGGGATCGTCTCCAGGAGACTGATCAGGGTTCGGGAGAACTTGTGTCGAGCGTCAAGGAAGGAGAAACCACTACTCAGCTGCCGTACTACGTTCTGAGGGGGCGTTACAGCTGATTATAACCAGAATGTTTAAAAACTGATAACCAGTTGAAATGATAAGTAAACTATTTATGATTATGGATACGAATAACGATGTTAATTAGCGAACAACATTTCGATATTGAAGAGCAACAGTAATTTAACGGCAGCTTCATTATATATAATACAATGACCAGAATAAGTACATTTCGGTGATCAATAAGTACAAGCATTGAGAAGTGTGAGAGTAAATGTTGGTAAAGGAAGTCACTACTGTCTACTCATCATCATTTATGGATGCGACAAGTAACCGTAGGAATATTAGAGGAATTGTTCTTATCTGACTATTTAGTTTAAATGTAATTGCAAACGTGCATTTAAAAATACTTACAGATCAAATATTTGTTAATCGATTTCTAAACAACATTTCATTCATTGAGACCGCATAACAAATGGGTAGATAATAGCTTAATACAATAATATACATGATAATAATATGATACATGTACATTACCAGGCTGAAGTTTCATGTTGTTCAATTCGACATAGAAATGCGATGTTGTAATGGGCACCTACAATACAATTCACTACCTCCAAGTGCAAATAAGTGAGAACAAGCACCTTCTACAAGTGTAAACTGCAGACTGTTACCTGAATAAAAGTAATCTCGTGGGGGAGGAACTGGGTAGGATTAGAACTGAGGAGTGTATCAACTCCAACCACACCAACCACCTGGAGAAGAGATATCAGGTTTGGTTGAAATGGATTGATATCGATGAGATACTATAAACCGCCTTGCTCATTTCCTGTTAATCGAATGTTATGTATAACCTATGCTATAGCGTGCGCCGACTTATATCCTTTATATAACTATCGTTCAAGATGCATGTAGGGAAAACATGAAATGGAGATATAAGAAACAGTTGAAGTTATCAAATAATCACTACCTTTTCCGTATCATTTTTGAGAGGCAGAACCAGGAAAGCTCCGTCTCTATCCTCATCTACCGCCCATCTGTCCATGGCCCACAGGTGTACTTGGTTATTGTTACGGATCTGGTTTATGTACACTGCCTTGCCCGACCGGCGCACTTGATTACTGGATAAGAGGGGGTAAATATCACATTTACATTCCATTTCCATCTGTTTATTCTATCACATTTAGAGATGCGCAGTAGGCTGGCTATATTCGAATTCAAACAAATGTAATATTCTTACAACCAAGCCTACCTGATGCACTTCTGTGTAGCGTACAGAGTCCTGCCCATGAGAATATTTTGATCATTAGCAGTACTTGCAACGTATCTCAACAGTGTTTTGTCCTCGTCTTCATCGTCTGCGTCGGGATCTGTTTCTATCAACGCTATGTACGCGTTTATTAACCGTCCACTACCGTGATATGCAAAGTCCTGGAATTATTAACAATAAACATGGGTCGTGGACAGCATGCAGATGTGAATCAGTTGAGTATAGAATTCGGACATGTAAATTGTAAGCTCTTGTAAGCACTGCCTCATATTGATACAAAACACCGGATTATTTCACCTTTTCAATGATATCGAAGAAACTTCTGAAGTAGAGATTGTGATCAGATCCGGATATTTTGGGAAGGAGATGCATCACCTCCAGCCATCTCCTCCTCTTCCTCTCTCGGCGTAGATCTCCTCGTTGGGTCTAAAAAGAGATATGTTTCAAATTTCCTCGACATGAATTTGAATATTTAACAATAACAGCAAGATTTTGATAGGAAACGACATGTAAAGTCTAGTTGATGAATAAAAAGCTTTTCAAAATATCAAATTTAAACCCGTCCAATTTTGGGTGCTGTTTCTAATTTCTCAAAACTCACCTGGACGACAAGGCCAACGAAGTCTAGTAGTCTGTCCATGTAATCGTCACTGTCCAGTACTTTGTGGAAGGAATGACACAACTTCAGGAAGTCTTCTCTCAGTAAATCCTTCTTATCAACCTCTTCCACCGACTTGCATATCTGTTTTGCTGAAATAGGAAAGTAAAACCGACGTTATAGTTCTTATCTTCTCTTTCATTGCTCTTAAAATTTACCAATTGTTAATTGCGCCAAAAAACGCTTAAAATAAATACAGCAATGTTAATTAAAAAAGCGGTGATCAAACAAGGTGAGAAAGTGGTAACTACTCACACATTTCAACATTGTAAGGTTTAGTAGAGTTCTTTTGCCACTGAGATAGAACTGCAAGAATCTCTGTGCGATCCAGGTAGCCAAGTTTATCCACGTCCCATTCATCAAACAAATCATTTATCCTGATGAAAATTCGTTTTTAAACGAATAAATGAGCTTTGCAGTTATTCAAACAACAGGAATTGGGTATAAAGATTTTATTTCTACGAATATTCCGCATATTGAGCCAGAGTATTTGTTCTCGACCCGAACCCTCTATATTAAGAGTCTTGAACTTTTCTGAGAAATAAACTGAACAAGTTTAGAGCAAAACTAACTTGGTCATCATAGCGTGATGTTTGGCAGCAAGTTTCTCATCTAACTGTCTGGATTGTCTCTGTTGGGGTGTCTCTTGGAAACTGTCCTCCAGGAACTCAGATAGTGCTGTCAGTGCTCGCCTGAATACACAAGCACATCAGTTAATCCGTGTAAGGTGTTTCAACAATTAAATTAAACGCTGTTTAGTAAACTCATGTCTGGGACCTGGTTAACTATGATTTGATTTGAAACTTTTACAAAATAGCAAATATACAAATGTACAGCAAATCGAACAAACATATAAAATGGGCCGAAATGTATAAATGCTATAAAGCGTGGGTCAGTGAAACAAGTACAGAGGACAACTTTTAAAACACGAGGTTTATGGCCGCCCAAAGTCTCAATAACGTCACCTCCACCTAGTAATAAAATTATGAAATATGAAGTGTGAAACAAATTATGAAATATGAAGTGTGAAACAATCAAAAAAATAGCTCGTATATAAATTATAAATAAATAAATTATAAAATTGTCTCTCAAATACAGATAACGTCCGAAAACTATTAAGATACGCAATACTCATTCAAATACTGATCAGTGTCCGAGAGACATGAATTGCTTCACGGTGGTTTCTTATCACGGCTACAGACTTTCCCGTACCGGATATAGTGGTCGAGGTGAGTCTGTTCAACCCTCTTCTTCTTCAGGTCGGTAACCAGATGTTTCCTCGTTGCTCGTTCTTCGCTAGATCTATCTGGACAGATCCATACATTTTTGTGGGTCTCAACTAGCCTCAGTCTTCCTGTTTTCGTCAGAATCTGTTGAACCGCTGTAGAGCTTGGGACAGTGATCTTTACTGGTCGGATAGTCGTACTACCTGGCCTCTTCCTGCCGACTCTAGTCGCTTCGAAGTGAGGTTTCTCCCCAATCTCCTCCAGAACTGCGGTTAATAGCGCTGGAAGCTGTTCTCCCTCTTCTTCTTTCAACCCAAACACAATCAGGTTCTTGCTCCTGTCCTCCTCTGCAGCCACACTCTTCATCACCTTCTTCAGGATGTTACTGTTGCAGACCGTACCACTTGCACTGTTCTGTTGTACAGCTGCACTGTAGCTCTTAATCCCTGACTCCACCGTTGTTTGCACTGTCTTCTTAACCGACGTCTTAAACAACTCCAGTTCTTTGTCCTTCTGCACAAGCAGCTGGCCCTGCAGCCTGATCAACTTATCCTTGTCTTCTAACGCTTCCGTCTTCAAGAAATATATGATCTCCTCCATTTTAGCCATCTGGCATTCATGCCGTTGAACGAGGTCTATTGCTTCCACAAGCCGAAGTGCCAGATGCTTTTTATAGACAGTTGGAGCCATAAATATTTCTCTGTCCATATCTCCACAAATATCTCTGTCGTCGATTTTCAGTTCTTTTCCCAGCGTATTGAACCACTTAGTAACACTGTCCTTCAATTTTGTCTGTTCATCATACTCGAATCCTTGAATTTGGTCCAGAGATTGGGTCACCTTACGATCATCCTCCATAATGTACTTGTATAGGAATGTACAAGTACACACGCAAAGGCTAACTACACGGTAGCAGCAAACTGAACTTATCGCAATTTACAAAAGATAAGAGAGCTCGATAATTGCAACGTAAGCTACACTGACTACACACAACTATAATTTCCATACCTAACAGTAACACTTCTCATCAATGTTAAACAACTCCATTCAGCTTTAGGAACTACACAGATATGTTAAACATTTACTAAGGATCAAACTAACGGATGAGGGTCCTCGCCCAGAAGCCGCTCAGTGACGTAGATGAACTCCTCGAGGTTAATCTTGGTATCTATTTCTTGGTCTCTGGGTTGAGTTAAGTGGGAGGGGATCTCTTCTCCGATTAGTTCTATGTCATGTTTCAGTAGTTGAACCTCTTCTTCGTCATCTAGGAATATTAATTAGTGAATTATTCCGCAGTTATGTTCTTTACTACGCAGTGAGTTACTATGTACGTGATGAAAATGATCAAATGGTGAAAAGTATGAAGATAAGTTGAAGATGAGAAGTGTGAGTTGATTATTGGCAAGATGTTATATTGGACTCAACTGATTTCAGTTATCCAAGGTTCGTCGGAAGGTGATTCGTCAGTAGGTGATTTGACGGATGGTGATTCGTCGGAAGATGGACTATTGATGTGGATGACTGATGTGACGGGAACAAAATCATCACCAATGCTGGTTTCTGACTGTAACGAAAATATCGATTTCCTAGCAGACATTTTCTTATTGGGTGCTTCTAAATCATCATGTTCGGTATTTTCGACTGTGGTGTGAACAATGTGGACAGTCGGAGTGGGTGATGTTTGTGCTGTGAGAGAATGGGGGAGGAAATTTAGGTAAAATGATTGAGGAAGTATGTGTAATATACATATATTTACTGAAGACCAGCGAAGATGTGAAACATTAGTTGTGTTCTTACCGTCAGTATGATAACTCATGTTCCAATTACCCAAATGTTAAATTCTATTCAAAATCAAAAGTTAACAATTTTTTGAAATAATTTGCTCACCATCGTCCTCTGGAGGTAACCGGACAGTTTTCTCTGGAGATGAAGGTTCCGTAGTCTGTAAAACGAAAAGTGAATACAGACTCTTAGAATTTTATCGAACAAAAAGTTGACAGGCCGGTGAAGTATATTTTAGAGGTTGGGATGATCCAGAAATTCAAGAACTACGTCCTAGCTACTGTGTAAAGCTGAGATAAATCGTTCTCAAATTTCATATTGTGACAAAAATTTAGAACTCACCACGCGCGCGCGCGCGACTTTTAAAACACACTCACTGCTACAAGCTACACTTCTAGCATGACACAAACTGATACAAACTAGCAGTAGCTTGAGCCGCGCGGGCCATAAACACGCTGTTGCCAAGACAAGTGTAGTGTCTTAACTTATTATACTGTCGACAGTCTCAATAACCTGCGAGTACTTTATTTAATCTAATAACTAACCAATTCTTGGGCTGCCATTGGTTCATCGACTGCCGGAGTGTCGATGGTTATTGGAGTCTCTGAGTAGACCGGGATAGATGCGCTGCCACAGAAGGGTGTAGTCATTACACTGGGCGTGGGAGTGGGGCTGTACACTGTGTCCTTATCTGACCCTGAAGTTAAGTTTAGAGTTGGATAGGTAATTGCTCAGTTAGTAGATCAATCACCTTAAGTGTAGTATTTTAGCGATGAAAAGCTATAAAAGTTCCACCAAAATGCTTACAGTCGAGTGGGTTGGTTATGTATTTCTTCATGTTGATAGGTATGTTGCCGTAGAACTCCTTGATCAATGTTAAAATGTGTGCTCTATTCAGCTGATTCTCCTGAAAGTTCAATATTATCATTATTATTAACACTTATAATTATGATAACTGCAAGCAATGTAGTTAAGTTCGCAACGTCTGTTTCATATTATAAGCTGTCTCTATGCAAGATAGTTGTCACGTCTCACAGCAAGATGTATGAAGGAAAACGAACCTGTTCTTTATCGATTGAACGGAAGAGTGATGTTAATGCGTGTCTGAAAAATTGAACTTCAAAATAAAATCCAGTAAATAAGTAAGATTGACGGATAAGTCCAACTATGACGAACATCTTGAAACATTTTTCAGAAAATAACATAAAAGAATATAGAAGACAATCTTAGGAGAAACCCCCCTTCCGCACTGCAACAAACTAACTGTAATCGTTGGCGCTGATCCCCCACAGGTACAGCTTTAGCGCACGCCTCAATGTGCTGCATTAGCGCTCCAAACGCTCCAATAGGCCATCCTTCAGTGCGGTCCATGACGTATTTACAGTACTGCTGACATGAAATAGCGTCCTTCCTGTCGTCTAGTGGTACTGGTTGTATGTACTTACACACTGCAACGATAAGAGAATTACAGAAGAGGTATTTGTGTACTGTAATATAGTGATTACAGCACTCGCCACTCGCCAGTATTACACGTAACTAATGGCAAACTCGCCACTCGCCAGCATTACACTCTGTTCTCTCTTTCTGAGAGGAGCTTAAACGGCTTCACTCTATACCACACATATAATAATACACATATAATACATAACATATATGTAGTATGACAGCGTGTACTCTTACCATGACTAATTATTCTGTTGACTGGCCAGGCTTGAAGCCTCTGAGTTGACTAGACATGGATCTGTTAAACATGTTTAATATGATGTGTACATGTAGTGTACTGTGGCCTGTGTGACACTGTGACACTAATCATATTGATTCCATATGTGTGGGGAAGGACCTCTGGCTTGCTTGGTTTAGCTTGCTAAAGCATGCATGCTGCTACAATCCGTACATGTTTCAATGGGATTATTATAATCCGTGCTTATCTTCAAGACGTGTTTTTTTACTTAATCTACAAGATTTTAGTTTATTTATAGTACTTAAGTGAATTCGTGTCGTGATTCGTGACACATATCATAAGCATGCCAACAAACAATGGACATTGAAATGAAGGACTGATGTTAGATGTACCTTCGCGCATTTCTTCGTTGAACTTGGGCACTTTCTCCTCCATAAACGATCTCAGAGCACGTTGAATCTGGTGAAAACAGTTGAAAGTTAGCAAGTAGAGAATAGTGTTGTTAAATCTTTGTAATGTTGTGAAATGGAAAGTAACGTGATTATATACATTTACAGTTGTTATATATAACAACTGTAAATGTGATGTACAAAGAGAGTACAAAGAGAGTTTTATAGATCGGTGATAAACATTCATTGAAATATGAGTTATTCTGGTACAAAAATAGCAACATAGTAAGTAATAATTAAAAATAGTAAGTGAGAACGGGTGGTGATTCAATGTTCTGATAACCCAAAATTTGTCTGCAGCTTAACCAGGCATGTTAACATGCTTGTTAATTCTGCTCATCAAGCTCGCTTTTTAAATTTGTTTGAAATTTATGAAGCACAAGTTTACGCTAGAAAATTAATGTTGAAAAATGTACATGAGCGTAGATGGTTAATCAAGAATTGCTCCATGATCGATCTTAATTCAAAACTGGAGATTTCAATCGCTTGTAATGTGCCCACAATCAGCGGTGAGTCAAACAAAAGTTAAACCCAACATAAATAATAAACAAATTTTAAGCTTCCAAAAAGTAATAATAGATGTGACTGATCTAGTACTTTATATTGAGGAATAGTTTCGTCTCCAAAGCTCCATTTCTGGAAAGATTTAGCAGTGATCTCGGTTCTTCTGTCCATCTCAGCAGGTTCCAGCGCCTCCTTTGTCTGGCGCTGGTAACGCCTCTTGCGCGCATCGGAAGTTATCTTAGCGGACTTGCTGTGACGAAGCTTGGCAACTAGTTGCCGCAATTCTGTTTTTACCTGCATCAAATTATATTTAAAGTCAAGTAAAGACGTTTATCTGAGAACTTATTTCTTAAATTAAATATTCACGTTTAAACCCTCAAAAGAATCAAGCCATATAATATTTTTCAGATATTATCTGAACTTTTAAACAATAACACACATGATAAGAAATCATATTTTCTAGAAATAAACCTCATTCAACCCTTTCATGTAAGGGCTGTTCTTGATGAGATGATTGTAGCGAGGATTATTCCTCATCAGATGTTGGGCCAGATAGTTCAGAGGGTTGAAGTTGTCTTTGGCTTTTCCCACCTGATAGTCACGTGATATTAGACACGTGATGTTTACACGTACCGTACATGATTCCAGCAATAATGTACGAAATGTACATAAAAATCGATAGAATTAGAACTTCCTTAAAGTTTAAACTCTAAAGTGATTATAAAAATATCAAACTTCTTCAAGAAGTGATTCAAGTCCCAATACAAGGGAAGGAAGGCAGTTGTCTATAAGATACACTCTAAGTTCGTCGGTGCCACCTGAAGGAAAACAATTCCGTAATGATAAAATCAAATATGTATTATTATAAAATTCAATAAAATATGATATGATTATAGACAGTATCTAAAGTTTTAAGGGTACCATACATTTAACATATATAATATATATGTAATTACAAGGTTTTGGTATTATGAAAGTTAAACGAAGAATGATAGGGGCTGGATGGTTACAAGTAATGATGAAAGTAATGGTCAAACTGAATATTACCAATGTTTTCCAGCCAATCCTTTGTCAAGATATCCAGAGGAATCTTCTTGTTCCTTTTGAAGTTTATATCTCTGCCTTCAAGCACTATCGCTCGTTTATCTCTGATATTCCTCCTTATTTTGTTGTTGATGTTCTTCTCATTGATTCTGCGCCAGCGCCTCACAGCAATGACGTGGTTAGGAAGGATGCGCGACGGAGAGAGGGCGTTCAGGAGCTCCCCTCCAGGACTACTGTCCCTCTGATCAGGGATAGCTGCCATTCCTACGCAACATTGTGAGGATTACAAGTTGTGAATAATTAAAATTGTGTTAAATTATAATACAAAATTAGAAAGGAAATTTAATGATCTGCTTTAGAAAAAAAAAGGATTCAGCCATTCAAGTTCGAATGTTTGATCAAGCAGTGAAAGATATTAGGATTTTATGAAAAGAGCAGTATCACTGAAGCTTTAAAAGTTGTTCCATGCTTCAAATCATACAACAGCTAGTTTCAGAACTAAAGATCAGCAGAGATTTATGTAAACATGTTTGATTATCCAAATGCTGTATTATGTAGTAGACTTTAATTCAATGCTGAATCATGTGTAGATAATAAAATATAAAAGCATACTAACTTGCTCTAATAATGAAAAGTCTGAATGCTATTCAAGCATTAAACATACAAGAGAAGTCAATTCAAAGAATGCATAGGAAGTCTTGACTATGGTTGTGATTAAAAGAATAGCATATTTCATGATTATATAGTTTCACATATTTAACAAGTGCAGTGTCTTAATAAGACAACATAAAATAAGGAGCTATGTTCCTAAATTTAAATGAAAAGCCAATATTTTCATTCTCAGAGCTCTCCTCAGTGCAATATCCGTGCTTCCAAAAGTCCTGAGAATATCGACTGGTTATCAACAGACTACCGTCTTCCAGTGAGATGTCTGTTCTCTTACTCTTGTCATTACTTATAAAGGTCATCGTACGTGTTGCTCCAATCGAAACAGTAAGAATCAATGATTCCAAATCAATTACAGGTTCATCATCCCTGTGCATATCAACATTGTTGGATCCGGATTGATACTTAGTAATGAGACATGAGTTAACGTGTTGTTTAGGTGGACATTTGGGTGTAATCAATGCATTGAGCAGTTTGTGAACCACTGCTGGCATTTCTTTTGGCTCAAAAATGTAGCCAAATTTACGATAAGAGTGGATGCCATAATAAAGAACACGAGATTTCTCACCGACCATTTTGAAATCTTCTTCTTTGTCTTTCACAAACTTTGCAAGCTCATTTTTCAGTTCAGTATCGATTGCATTTGGATCATGCATCACATAAGGTTCACAAGCAGGTCCTAACTTGATAGATTTTGAGGAGTCAGAAATAGTTGGGATTTCAAAACAATGTCTCTTGGTATTAGTTACACTGTCATGCGAACTGGAAGGCAAAGACTGGCTATGTGTCTTTAAAGGAGAATTGTGTAAAATTTGGACCTGTTTGGTTAGATCTTCTCCATCAAATTTATTTGATATTCTCGGAGTTAATTTTGGATTTTGTGGAGGAGCCTCTGAAGTCCCTACCTCTGAAACCTCCAAAAATGGAGGTTTTTCTTCTGGCTCATCAATATCTGAGTTAACACCTCTGGAAAATGGTCTGGCCACCATTTCACTGCACGGAAACCATACATTATTTAGCTGATTGAGTTTGCCATGGAATTCTGAACGGCCAGCATATTCATTAATGGAAGGTTGATGATGGAAGGTGTAAGGGGAAACATAGCACATAGGACATTCCCAATCATCAAGCATTTCTACAGCAGCTGTGTTAAGCCCAGAGAGATTGCAGCATCTATTGTGCCACTTTTGTTCACATTTTTCACACATGATAAAGATAGATTGGTCATCACTAGAACCACAAGGGCACTCATTTTTGTTGGTAGCATTATCTTCAACATGTATCATGTCTTTATGAAATAGTTTTATTCGTAAATCAGTTTAAATGATTTCTTCTCGTCAACCCAATTAACTGAAAAACTTGCTCCATTGATCCTTCACACTCTGTCGATGGATCACATAAAGTCTGTACTGTAGTCAGCCTTATGTAATCAAATCTGGAAAATCTATTGATTATAGAAAACTGACAATGAATTTAGTAAAATCAAGATACCAAAAGATATTAGATAACTTGTGATACAATTACTGAGGCAGCCAACCAACGCGCTTTATATATCAAAGAAATGAATATTTTGTGATTTCTGGCTCATATCTGCACAATTAACAGATATAAAGAGATGAATGACTTAATTATGTGACATTTGAATCTTTTTGGACCACATATTAAAATTTGGTTAACTTTCATAGCATACTCCTTGAGATACAAGTATTTTAAAATGCTTCACACAATTTTGGCAGTGAAAAATCAATCTCTAGTGCCACCTTTTTATGAACGTGTCCATATGATATGTTTTGATTGTTATTAATAAATTCCAAAATTTAAAACTTGTGTTCCTAATTTTAACAAAAATCATGCAATTAAATGGTATAGAAATAATTTAGAAAATACTCTCAGTGGTAATGTATGTAAAATTGAAATTTGATGACTCTAATTACACAATTACTCTCCACAAATGTATGTTTAACGTAGCTCTTGGAACCCCTACCCTGCAACTCTAACTATGACAGTGATATGATATGGATACCTCTTCCAGCTCCTCTACCTCCAGCTCATATTTACTGTTTTACTGACATCCAATCGGCTGAACACAGAAAGGTCTATGTTGTCCTACCCAAGCCAAAATAATATTCCTCCAGAACAATACCTGGCTCCTCTCGACCTGGACCTTTCAACCTGATCAAAACCACCTGAGAATCCTTAATATTTCTCACCTGAGAAATCATATATATATATATTTGAAACCAGTCAACTGGTGTGCGGGGACTAAAGGAAACATCATCAAGTAATCAACAAAGCTACAAATTAACTCCACAGCTAATGTCTCCATTGGGAACATCAACGACAGGATCATATATTATTAACATCACAAACCATTTTTTCTGTAAATCAAATCTGTAAAGAGGGAACCGTCAATCGACATCGTTGGAGTCGTATTGGTCAATTAACAATGCAATGACTTTTAAGGTACTGAGCAGGGACCTTACAATGTTATAATTACTAGAAGTGAAAATTGTTAATACCGCTATATAGGGAGAATTGTTATCAATAATACCAAGTCAAACTCTGTGGGATAAAGGGTTGTAATAAAATAGATTTATAACAAGGTTAGATAACTCTCTAGTTATAACTCTCAGATGTACTTGGTTGATCAGTGATATGAGTGTGTATGGTTATTACGCTGAGTGATCTGTGTTCAATATCCAAATCACTTCAATAAATATTATCTACTAATAATTTAACTTGTGCTTTTGGGAAAGTTCCTTGATCCACTCTTTACTAGTAATAGCTCTCTCAGCTATACCGTCCCTCTTGATCTTACTTGTGCTGTGCTGGTGACTGCTCTCTCAGAGCTTACTCAGGTCCACTCAGGTTGCTATACTTGTCTGCTCTCTCAGAGCTGTTCCCTCTAGAACTATATCCTCAATCTAACTTCACTGGACTGCTACGCTAGCATCCACACAAAACAACCTGGGGTAATAAGGCACTTAAAACACCGTAAGTAACATCCTCTCAGGAAGTATACACAATCAAGATCTAGTAAAGTAAAACAGATCACAATGTAATACGGGAAAGACAACAACTAACATACAAACACTTACCGGCTTCAAGTCAGACACTCTCGTGGTTGTTAGTAGGTCCCGAGCCGGTTGTTGTTGTCTTCTTCTTATTTACATCAGCTGTATTTACATGCTTATAGAAAGATCGGTTAATAATCGACATTCCACCCTTTGTCTTTTCTTTCTTTTCTTTTCTTTTCTTTCCCAACACTCCGCCACGTCTTTAAAATGCCCGCAAAATATCAAAAAACACGTTAAAATTAATATCCTTAAATCCATGCGCGGCTCAGCGCAAACGCTCGTGCCCCAAAAAAAATTCAACTTTCTTTAACTTTAAACCCTTCTGGCGCAAGAAAATTTTATCTCTAAAAACCCTTGTTAAAAAATACGGTTACTAGTTATTCCATAAAAGGAGTTAGCACGTGACACATTTGCATTATATCTCTTGTTTTACACGTAAAAAGAGCGGTAAAACTCGCTGCAGTGTAAAATGACTGCCTGTTTTAAGAGATATCTTGCTGTGTATTACAGCTTTATAGAATATTCCGAAAAGAGTACACGTGTTAAAATTAACTTCCCGTCCCATACCGGTGATAAAAGATCTCTAGTATCACTAAGATACACAAATTCATGTCGAGTTCTACGTTAAGAAACTGTATTTAAACTTATCGGAAAGAAATTCTAAGTTAAGCTAGGTCTAAAAATTCATCTCTCATTAAAATATTCAAACCTGTCGTGTCAAATCTTCTCTTCTCACTCTCTTTTCAACATTTGTTAACATACACATGTTCGAGTTACGTACTTACTAAAGTAAACAGTTAATATATGTGATCTAGTGTAACTAACTGCTTTACTAACCAGAACTTATTATTTCAGTGTGCTGGTTGAACACAGCTTCAAAACTACAGTCAAAAGATATACCCACAGCGACCAGACGAAAGAGTCTCCGCTCGAATTTGACTGCTTGAGCTATTTTTAAGTTCTGTTTAGTGTTATCTAACCCAAAAATCGAATACATTAAATTATTAACGTTACAGATTTAAAAACAAGTTAAAACAAATATGCCTGTGCAAAAGCAGTAACTGGAAAATATAAATTTGATCACCTAGGCGACGATCTTGATAAATTGCACTGGCTTAATATACCTAAAAGAGTGATTTTTAAAATATGTCTCCTATCTTTTAAGGCTATTAATGGAATAGCGCCACTGTACCTTCAAGATATGTTTAAGTATGCTCACCATGGACACACTGTTAGGCTCATAGTCCCTTATCGTTCAACCAAGGGTTTTGGTGATCGTAGTTTTAGTGTGGTTGGTCCACGAGTTTTTAATGCACTACCAGACTCAGTTAAACAATGTTATTCTGTTGAGGCGTTTAAGTCCGCACTGAAGACTTATTTGTTTACTTTATCTGACACTGAGGTAGCAAAAATGTTTTATTAATAATTTTAACCCTCTCTTTGACTTATCTAAATTATATTAGCTTTTTGGAAGTTTTATGAACGAATTTATACATAGAACTTTATTTTGCTTTTGATA